CTATGATATCGTTGACTATATCTCGTTCATATCAAAGTTATGAATTTTTTTGTCAAAAAAATGTCATCTGCAGATGCCTACCGAAAATATCACTGTTGTCACAATTATAAAATTCAAGGCAAAAAAATCTAAATATCATTTATTGAGAATTTCTGAAAATGTTTCAGGCCCTCAAATGATACAGGGTGGATGAAAATGATTTTTCAAATGGAACACCCCATATATTTTTTGACCATTTGATGTAAAATCGAAACACTAACATATTTATATATGAACATCCATATCGATATTCATAACCCTTTTTGAATTATTGAACTTTGAAAATTATAGGTTGGCGATTTTGATCGATTCAGATTCTTATCTGTCATTGAAACATCAAAAGTCCAATTATTAATTTAGTGAACCAATTTTTTCAAAGAAAGAATCAATACCAGAATCAAAGCAAACCGAAAAAGTTCATATGCTAGTTATTCACAAAGTAAAAAAAGACAAAATTTGCATTTCTCAAGTATCCCATAAATTTATGACATATTGAAAGCAAAACCAGAATAATTGAGGAATGAAATTTTTCCGTCTCTACTTTGTAAATATTTAGCATAATTATGACCTATTCATGTCTGCTTTGGTTCTGACATCGATTCTTTCAATAAAAAATTGGTTTACTGAATTGTTGATTGAACTTTTGATGTTTCAATAACAGATTAGAATGTCTATCGATGAAAATGGCCAACCTAAAATGTTAAAAGTTCAAAAATTCAAAAATGGTTGCGAATATCGATATGGATGTTCGAATAAATATGTTTGTGTTTCGATTCTACATCAAATGGTCAAATAATATATGGGGTGTTTCATTTGAAATACTCGACAAAAATCACTTCGAAAAGTTCCGAATTGAAAAATCATTTTCAGCCACCCTGTATCATTTGAGAGCCTAAAACATTCTCAGAAATGTCACTCATCTTTTCAATAAATGATATTGAGATTATTTTTTCTTAAAGTTCATAATTGTGACAACAGTGATATTTTCGGTAGGTATCTGCAGATGACATTATTTCGACCAAAAAATTCATAACTTTGATACGGAAGAGATATAGTCAACGATATTATAGGAGTGGATGAAGATCACAGGGATGCTTCAAAAAATATGCAAATATACTGGGCATTCCAATTAAAAAAATTATCCCGAACCTCTAGATTATTTTCGGAGCGCCCTGTATATGCGGCAATAATTTCTAGTTATGGACCTTGTTATCTCAATCACATTCGTTTTTGAATCAGGTTTCTAGCTATCATAGAACTCGAGCAATCGAGCTCCGACGCACTAATGCCCCACCCTGTATATCCTACTTTCCCAACCTGAAGGATTTTACCTGTGGACAGGTTCGATAAACCTCCATTTTCGGAAATTAGGCACAATATCAACATTAAAATACGGTGTACTGGATTAATTTGAAAGGGTTGATATCAAATACATATTATTACTTACTATGAAAACAAATTCAACAATGGTGAACTATTGAGGTATAATTGATCGTTAAGTAAAATGTCAGAATTTCTGTTTTGTTTGTTGATTTCTAATGATTCAAAATTATTGAGTTTCATTCCTTTATTTTCTACGTGTAGAATTTCGAAATTATCATCAAAACTAGGGTTTTCTTCTAATATTATGGTTGGAGTATGTTGAATTTGTTTTCTTTTTCAAGAAATTCATCTTATGTTCATGAATGCGCTGATTAAACGTACGACCTGTCTGACCGATATATACCTTGGGACAAGATCCACAGTTGAGTTTGTATACCCCTGATTTTCCGAATTAGGAAGTTTTGTCTTTATTATTTCTGATGACCCTTCCCAACGTGATATGTGTTGTATATGCTACTTTCAAGTCTTCTTTATGTAGAAATGAAGCTAATTTTTCAGTTGAAGATCCGAAATAGGATAAAGCTCTATAATTTTGATTATTAATATTAATGGTAGAATAAACTTCTTGAATAGCTTCATTATGAAGTTTTCAAGAAATAATACTGTCTTATCAAATCAACGTTGTATCGGTTGTTGGCTGCAATTTGTTTTATTGAAATTTACTTCCGAAAGAGGGGCATTCTAGCCTGTGTATCATACTATTATATGCTGCAATTTTATGTTGATAAGGGTGCGTTGTCGACCGACCAGGATTTTTCAGTATTTCTCTCTTAACTGAAAATAGAATTACAAAATATGTTCGAAAGCACCAAACCGTGACCAGCGAGTATATGGTAGATTCCATTTGCGAAATATTTCTGCAACTTTGTGAACTATTTTCAGCTTATTTTGTCACATCGTAAATGAATATCGAAAATTCAAGTGTATACCAACTTTTATCTTCAAATAACACCCTGTATATATCATTCAGAGTATTCGTTAGACGATGATGAGGAATATGAAATATTGCAATCACGAATCGAATTCGAAATTAGAATGTTTCCTTTTACTTCTTGTGAGGCATTCATAATCCGAAAGTACCTTTACTATCTCAATTGAAATATGAGTTAGAGTTGTTGCATCATTTCATCTTATTTCATCAGAAATTTTCGTTAGAAATAAAATCTAAGTACCTTCTTAAAAGATTTATGATAAGAATTATAAGCCATCGCACCTTCCTTACTGCAAAACTAATTGATTTATCTCAAGTTATATTTCATCAATATCAAAATAAATTATTAGCTATAATTATCCTGTGGCAATTTCATCCAATTTCAAACCAATATACAGGGTGATTGGAAGTATTATCGAAAACCTAAACGGATGGAGAAATGAAGTGATCCTGAATATTTGACCTTTCCAAAATCAAAAAATTTTAAAAATACATCTCTGATTCTGAAACGAATTGATCCATGTTCATGATCACGATTATGTAGATTATTTCCTTTCTGAAGTATCCACATGTGATATTTACAAGGCGAAATCTAGACCCCTCATCAAAAACAATATTTTCAAACACATCACTATTGCCAGAAAAAAAATTGGAATGTTTCTCGTGAGCCACATTGTTTGTCTGCTTGATGTGTTTTGACGTAACATTTTCGATTTTTCTTGTAAGTTGGTCCCGAGGTTGGTCCTGACTTTTTTAATGACATGCATTATTTATTCGTTTCAAAAATGTTTCTTCAAAACACATTGAGCAATAACAATTTGCCCCATCCACAGCTTTGCAGAATGATATAGTACCCTCCATACTGCGTTCTCTTCCAGAATTCCCATTTCTTCCCAGGAAACTAAGAACTGACGGCGCAGGCAGGTCAATGATGTCAATGAAGATCTTGCTGAAATCACAGCCTGGGGAACCAACAAACTAGTTGAATTCAACGCCACCAAAGCTCAAGCCTGTATTTTCTCTAGAAAGGCGGAACTCAGTATGCCCGATATTGTAATGTCTGGCACCACCATCCCCACCAAGCCCACCATATCTATGCTCGGTATTTCCATCAGCAACACTCTTTTATAGGATAATCTTGTCAGATCCATCGCAAAAGCTGCTTCACAAAAACTCGGATTCTTGTTCCGTGCGAAAAGCTACTTTACACCTCAACAGCTTCTCATGATCTACAAAGCGCAGATACCGCTTGTTCTAGAATGCTGTTCCCACATATGAGGTTCAGCACCAAAACATACGCTGATGCTCTTAGATTCCATCCAGAGAAGAGTCATCTGCCACTCACTCACTCTTTGACATCATTAGAACACCGTAGAAAGGTCAGCGACCTTTCACTTTTCTACCGATACTTCCACGGAAAATGTTCTTCGGAAATCTCTCCTATCATCCCTTCACTAGCAGTACCAGTCAGACGAACTAAGCAAGCCCAGTCAGCACATCCTTTCGATGTCAACCTCGAAAGATGTCGAACAGCACTTTATCAAAACTCCTTCATCCATATAAGTATTCCCAACAACATATATAATCTCCAGAAGTTCAAAAAAAATTCCAATACCTACCTCCTATCCCTATCCTCCCTAGGAACGCACGATGTTCTTTGAACATTATAGGGATTTCCTTTCGTGCGCTCCAAGCGAAAGAAAAAAAAACCAATGATCCCATTTTTTTTTCACTCTGAATCCAATTCCAAAAGTGTTATGTGAAGCTAAATACATCGTTATATTCTCATCTACTTATTATGCTTGGTGCATATAAAGTCTTAGCATGTACGCATCAAACTATCTAAATTGAGAAAAAAGAAACAATATCATTATAGGCTACTGTAAAGTAGGTAGTATGTCGAGAATGTCAACGCATTTTATTCTGATGACATTTCTGCACTGTTGACTCTAATCAATGTACGAGGCATTCACGGTTCGTTAACATTTTACACACAGATTTCCTATTTTACTGAATGATATTACTGCATTTCCGTGATTCAACAGAATAACGGGTAATTAGTGTCATCAGCAACTGACTCAAATCAATGGATATACAGGGTGGTTCACGTATATTCTAGTAGTTAAAGATCTATCAGTTTTCGATCTGATAGAAATTGAATAATAGCCTTGATTGATATTTTAGCGTAAGCGTAATATATCAATCAACGATAATAGTTCAGTGGCACGAATTTTAACTCCTACATTGGAAAAATAAAGTGATTGATATACATAAAACAGGGTGACTTATAGTCGATGGTAGGTTAGACGTTTATGGGGAACGCAACAAAGGATTTTTCAGAAAATTTTGCATTTTCATTTCATCACCTGTTCTATCGATCTAGAATATTTTCAAAATTGCGACATTGTCGCTTCTATCGAAAGAGTCCTCGCAAATTCATTTTTTCTACTGGATATATCACCCTGTGAATTTATCGACACATCACACTCGGTGTTCAGGCTTCAGCGGGAATGATTACAGAGATATAGGGTGTTCAAATATCAATATTGTTCAACTTTAGGATTTTTTGGGTCGAAACTATTCATTATTGATCAAAACGGCTTCCATGTCCCTATCTGATTTACTATCTACTGATATTTCTTTTCAGAACTAGTGAATTGATTGCACTGATGGCCATATCAACCACATTATTCCTGTTTCTTCACACCCGAGATCTGAATACGAAACTGAAGGAAATGGAAGTCAAAATACAACCATACAGTATGGTATCTGGGAATCAGTTAATTTCAGGTGAGTTGAAGAAAAAAAGTGAAAAAAGTATGAATGTTTCACAGGTTGATAAGATTTCTCTTAAAAAAAAGTGAGTGATAAATCTTCGATATACATATATTAAGACCGTACTAGTTAATACAGGTTGTCCCAGAATTACGTTCGTATATACTCCGGGATGTATTTCTGCAGATGAAAATAAGGAAAAAATTTGAATAGGAATATTCTCAGATGAATTATAAACATGAAAAAATGGATATATGTATATATATACAGGTGTTGCGAAATTCGATCGACAACGCTTGACAGGTGATAGCCCTCGTGATTTCATAATCATTGAGATAAAGACATATGGTCTTCAAGTGCTCAGTTCTCGAGATACAGGGCGTTGCAGTTAAGAAATAAAAATAGTTGTTTCGCAATATCTCAAGAATAATTTAATATAATGCATTCAAATTCAGTATATGGTTTCACCTTTGAATGGGTCATTTTTTGACCAGGGAGCCATTCCGGACATTTCATCCAATGGTGCCCTACAGGGGGTAACTTTTTCTCCCATATATTCTACGCCACTGATTAAATTTCGATTATTTCCAATTCCTCGAATTCATTGTCCAATTTTGTTCAGAAATTGTATCACCTTCAGTTGAGCTGAGATGAACAGTTTTCGAGATATTCGACCCAAAATAGAAGATTGCATAGTAATATTTCATCATTTTCAGTAGTAGAAAATTGCAATTATTTCCTGTGTTGAGTTGATTAGATACTATTCAGATCTCATCCTGTAGCTGAACAGAAATTGTTATGTGTGTCTTGTTTATGGAGAAATAGTTATCCCATGCATAAAGAGAAAACAAACATTTTTGTGATTTTCCACTACTGAGGAAGATGAAAAATTACTATGCAAACTTCTATTTTGGGTCAAATATCTCGATAACTGTTAATATTAGCACAGTTGAAGGTAATGCATTTTTTCAACATAATTGGAAAACCAATTCGAGAAATTCGAAAGAATCGAAATTTCGTCAGTGGCGTAGAAAATATGGGAGGAAAAGTTATCACAACCCCCTGTAGCGTACCTATGGATAGAATTCTCGGAATGTCTTCCTAGTCAAAAAATGAACCATTGAAAGATGAAACCATATATACCGAAATTGAATGCATTATATACAATTTTTCTTGAGATATTGCGAAAAAACTATTTCAATTTCTCAACTTCAACGCCCTGTATCTCGAGAACTGAACACTAGGAGACCTATCTCAGTGATTATGAAATCACGAGAGCTATCACCTGTCAAGCGTTGTCGGTCGAATTTCGCAACACCCTGTATAAAGAAATACATTGAGAATTCGCATACTCTATGTGATGAAAATATCAATTCTTCCTACAGGGGGGGGAGGGGGAGGTCACAAAATGCAACATTTTCAATTTCGCCCTGTATCTCAAAAAAGAAGCAGGATATGAAAACTTTTTTAGCGGTATCGTGAATTTTACAAAAAATTAGCCAACGTTCAGATCAAATTAGTCCGAAAATAATGTGACAAAAAAGTTCAAATATAATAGAAACCAATGGAATACATACAAAATTGACTCACCTAATAATTGTTATGCAACATTTCACCACTTTCACCCTAGATATAATCCTCTTGAGGAACATCTGGAAATAAGGAAAACACTTTATACCCAAGTAGAACGAATCTAATTCATGTGAACTCAGATTTTATGAAAATAACAAGAAAAACAGGGAACTTTGATGCAATAAAATGTTCCACAGTTCGTTTACTAATGATTCATATCCTATCAATAATGCTTGATTTCACTTACCTTGTAGTTACTATAAATATTTACTCTATAATTCCATTATAGGTACCCGAAGGTACTTAATCAGAGATATTTCATTCTCTAACTTATATTTCCTTCACTGACATCAAACAGGCAGCATTTCATCGATGGCAGAAAAATCCAGGCCCTGATGAGACTAGAGCAGAATATGTCGAGGCTAGAGGCATATACAATGAGACAATTCGATCATCAAAGGATGCGTATAATGTCAAAATAAGATCAAAACTTGTTGAATGTCCTAAAGGATCCCGCTCATTTTGGTCCTTCGCCAAAGCTGTAGGAAGAAACTTCACTTCCAGCTCGTTTCCTCCTCTAATCAAGGAAGATGGAACACTAGCCACAACTGCCCAGGAGAAAGCCAACATTTCTGCGCATTTATTTGCTGGAAACTCCACGCTGGATTCATCGGGGAAAACAACCTTCAAACATAACGCCAATTGACAGTCATATGCGCCCGAGATCACCTTTCGCCAACGTACTATAAGGAAGATTTTATTGGGTCTCAACCAGTGGCGGCTCCTCAGAGGAGGCAACGGAGGCTGAGCCTCCTTAGAGATTCTCCTTAGACTGATATTATCTATACTTTCTCATCAAAAGGACACCAAAATACATGGATTTTGATTTTATTTCCTGTCTTCAGGTGAATATTTTCAAATTGGCAACAGTGCTTGCCCACGCATCACACGTTGAAGTCTGCAAATCACGCGTAAAATATTCAACTTGGTAACATCTATAGGAGGCTAGACTCCTTCATCATGCGCACCCCTAGCGCGCAATGCAAATGCCCAAATACGCCCGAGTAACACGTGTTTGTCGTGATCGTGTCTCGTCGCGAATTGCGGACAATCGCGAGTGCATTGTTTATGTTTATGTTAGGTTAATGATTAGGGGCTCTATAAATTTCTGAAAAATGAGTGTTTTAAACGATTGCGATTTAATGGAATACTTTTTGGTCAACCCATTCAGTGCTTTGTCTTATGAAGATAAATTGATTGTGAAAAACAAACGTCCGACACCGGAATTAAAAAATCTGATTGTAACAGATAACAAAGAAAATCGTTCAATTCTGATAATTATTAAAAATATATCTGGTTGACGGCATCTGAGGTAAGGAATAAGCTATTTTGTTGGTACTGCGTATTATTTTCAACCCATAAGTCATCTTGTTGGGGGCGATCAGGATATAATGATTTGAAAAATTTGCCTCGCGGATTTGGATAGACACTGCAAATCACAGGAACACATCTCTTCAAGTATTAAGTTCAGGTTAACTGGTAAACAGAATGTCATTGGAGCTTTTGATTTGGGTGAGTTGTAGAGAGTTGTTTTTCACAATAAATCTCATATCATTTAGCCTCCTCTGTCATGAAAATCACGAGTCGCCAATGCTACCTAGCAACTTCAGACCGATCGCACTGCTATCTATTATTTCAAAGATCATGGAGAAAGCTATCAACATGGAGAAAGCTATCAACATCGAGCTGATGAAATACCTGTAACATTCTGGTATTATCAACGATAAGCAATATGGCTTCCGTCATCAGAGATCAACTAGTGACCTGCTCGCTTACGTCTCACATATATGGCAGCAATCTATTGAAAAATTTTGTGAAACCTTAGCCGTGGCACTCGATATCTCCAACTCCAAGGCATTCGATCGAGTCTGGCACCACGGACTCCTCGCCAAGCTTCAATCTTATGGCTTGCCTCCCCAGTTATGTTCTCTGCTAGCTAGTTTTCTCTCAAACAGGTCTCTCCATGTAGTGATCGACGGAGTTTCATATGACTCTCTTAGTCTCTTATCATAAATGCTGGTGTTCCGCAAGGATGAATTCTAGCACCAACACTATTTCTACTCCATATCAACGATTTGTTGGAAGCAATTTCGTTACCAATACACAACTTCGCGGATGATAGTACCCTCCATACCGCCTTCTTTTCCAAGGCTCCAATACCAGCCAGGCAAATCAGAAACGAACGAGGGAGAAATGTTGACAACATAAATATGGACTTGGCAACAATTTTCGAATGGGGATCCAATAACTTGGTAGATTTTAATGCGAACAAAACACAAGCATGCCTTTTCTTTAGTAAAGCCGATCTCACTATGCAAAACATAAGCTTGTAAGGAGTAACCATTACCATTCAACCGCGAAATGAACGCGAACGCCAAACGCCACCTGGCAAGGAAAGAATCACTCCAAAACAAGATCACATTTCAAGTGAAATGGGAGTGGCTGGTTGCCCGACTGGCATATTTTTAACCAGGAAAAGGCCAAATACTCAAACTGGAATGCAATATGGTTACAAAGAGAGAGTAAGTAATTACCACAATAGTTCATAAAATGAACGAAAATGGTAGATAATGAGAAAAAAAACAACTACTTACCTGGCTGTATGCCACACAGAACATTGCATTACATCCTCCTGGAATCTATGCAATAATTGGAGGGTTTCTTTTCTTGCCAGGTGGCGTTCGCGTTCATTTCGCGGACGTTGAACGCCTCGTGGGGTATAAATGCTGAGATGCGTTCACGTTAGGTCAGGTTCGCACCAGATTGCGGTCATGAATGCTATCTGGGACAGCCCTGTACTGATGAGAGCCAACAGCTCGAAACCGGTCTGCAGGCATTCCTGAACCACTTAATCGCAGCTCGGCGTTTAGGAAGGAAACACTTGCGATTTTATTCGTCTATACGAATTATTGCATAGATTTCGGGAGGATGTAGTTCAATGTTGTGCGTGGCGTATAGCCAGGAAAGTAGTTGTTTTTCTCTCGTTATCTACAATTTTCGTTCATTTTATGGACTGTTGTGGTAAAGACTTTAGTTTTTCTCTCTTTGGGACCATTGCATTCCACTTCGAGTATTTGGCTTTTTCCTAGTTGATTTGTATATACAGTATAATGCAAATGTATGGAATAACTTCATTTCAAAACAACTTCCGAAAAAAATCCAGAAACTAGAGTTCAGAACTTTTTATATTGTGTATTTTTTCAACTAGACGACCCTTCGATGTTCAATTCCCAGTAGCAGACCTCTGCAAGATTCAGTTATCCAAATGATAATCCATTTCAATTGCAATATTCTTCTGCAAAATTTTGACTATTGGATAGACGATCAGTAGACCTTTCAAACGAGGTGTCACATGACCCCTGTTTGTATTTAAAAAAACCGTCCATTACGTCATTACTCCAACACCGGTGACGTAACATCTCTCATATGAATGTCATGAGATGAGGTTTCAAAAATTAAAACTCACGTGTTTTTGGAATTTCTTCAAATGTCGCCTATTTCTGAAATAATGAATTTATTCCATACATTTGCATCATACTGTATGTTTGATACATTTTAGAAGTTAGCACAGGGTGATTCACCATAAATGTCCCCCCCTCTAGCTCAGTTATTTTTGAACCGATTTCAAAATTTGAAATATCATCTTAAATGATTTTCGATAAAGTTTTTTTCCGCTACATCAGAAAATACAGGGTGCTCGGAACAAACGATCTACAGGGTACTATTTGATTTTTCAAATGGAACACCCTATTTTCCATTGTATTCTTAGATTCTCCCTGAAGAGCTGATTTCATCAATACATCACACTTGGGGTCTAGCGGGAATGATTACAGAGATATGGCACTGGGACGAAATATCGCAGGACAAAATAGCGCGGACAAAAGAGCGCAGGACAAAATAGCGCAGGAACAAAATTGCGCGCGAAAATGGAGTGCAGGATCTATGATTAGGTCTGTTCCTTTGTTAGAGTGAAGACTCATTCTTCAAATACAAGGTGTTTCAAAATGAGTCTATACCCTAGCAAACAAACTAACCTAATCATAGGTCTACTTTAACAATCCAACGGCATACCTAGTATTAAGTTACTTCGTTTGTAAGGGTAGTCTCCTTTTGAAACATCTAGTATTTGAAGAAATAGTCTATGCCCTGACAAACGAATTAACGTAATCATAGATGATGCACTACGTTTTCGCGCTCAAATTTGTCTCTGCGCTATTTCGTCTCTGCGCTATTTTGTCTCTGCGCTATTATGTCCCTGCGCTATTATGACCCTGCGCTATTATGTCCCTGCGCTATTTTGTCCGCGCTATTTCGTCCTGCGCTATTTTGTCCTGCGCTATTTCGTCCCAGTGCCCAGAGATATAGGGTGTTCAAAATCGAGATTATTCAATTTTAGGATTTTTTTGTGTCGAAACTATTCATTATTGGTTAAAACGGCTTCTATGTCCCCATCTCAACTTTTGATTTACTATCTAAGATACTCTCGAAGATACTTGTTTAATTGGAACATTTCCAGGGTGGTTCAAGATTCAGAATTCTGATCACCCTGTATCTGTTCCAATTATTAAATGTCAGAAGATAGTAAATCAAATGTTAAGATACGAACATGAAAGCCGTTTTGACCGATAATGAATAGTTTCGTCACAAAAAAATCCTAAAGTTGAAAAATCTCGATTTTGAACACCCTATATCTCTGTAATCATTTCCGTTAAACCCGAAGTGTGATACATTGATGAAATCAGCTCTTCAGGAAGAATCTAAAAATACAATGAAATACAGGGTGTTCCAATTGAAAAAATCAAGTAGTACTCGAGAGTAGATCGTTTGTTCCGAGCACCCTGTATTTTCTGATGCAACGGGAAAAACATTTCTGAAAAATCATTTCAGATTATTTTCAAATTTTCAAATCGGTTCAAAAATAAGTGAGCTAGAGGGGGGGACATTTATGGTGAATCACCCTGTACAAACCTGTTTCCTCGAGATTTTTCCTATTTGCGGTTTTTTCACTAGTAGGAATTATCATAGGTGTTGAAAAAAAAATATATTGATATTACTGATCATTACTTATACTCTTTCATTTCAAAATATCACAGTAATACTGCTGATCATTATTTTTCCTTGATCACAGTATGTATATATAACAACCTACAAAATTATCAAAAACTACAAGTTAAAAAATGTGTCCTATCAAATACAACTTTACTCAAAAACGAAATTTTCTAATGTGAAAAAATATGTACAAATTCGTCAATGATAAAAACAGACCGAGAAAATAATCATCATTGCATCTTGTATACAGGGTGTTTATTGAACATGCGACAAAAATTCGGACTGATCTATTTTGATATCTGATGATTTCTGAAAACCCTCTTTGTTTCGAAGATACAGGGCGAACAACAGTTTAGAGAAAACCATTCTTGATATTTTTTTAATTGTTAATAGTCTAAATAAAAGTACTACTGTGTATACCAAGTACCTGCTCTTTTTTTTTTAAACATCGTTATTATCTTTTAGCAACGTTGCAATTACTAAAAACGGCTATTTTTCCACTCAGAACAGGCAATAAATACAGAGTAAACGTGGAGGTAGTCATTTTCAACAGTTCTTGTAGATTAAGTAACATAATTGTCTAAAATTTTGTTCGCCCTGTATCTCCTAAAGAAAACGGATATTTAAAAAACATCAAGGAACAAAATATTCAAGGAATAGTCCAACCCTTCGAATTTAAGCCGCATGTTGAATAAACACCCTGTATATTATTATTATTATGCATGAATGAAAATCTCGATTGATCAACCTATAACGATTGATCTATAGTTAAAAAATACTAAAAGCTAAATTTACACTGTTGAGAACAATTTTGAGTACCGATTTCTTTTTCAAATGTCACTGTATTAAATACCCATACGCGGTGTTTTATTATTAAAAGGAAATAAGTCAACATTGGATAGAAGCTCTACGAGGTACCAGAAATTTGATTAGTTCCCTTCAGATTTGAGAACGAATTTCAAAAATTGGTGATACAAGAAGCTATTATGATAACACAAATTATTAAATTTGTGGTTCCTTTGTTTGGACCCAATGAAGAAATGAGCAAAATGGATCACACACTCTACTGGGGAACGCAACGTAGGATTATTTCGAAAATTTGGTTCCTCGGATAATTAGCAATGTTTTATCGACCTGAAATATTCTCAGCGCTGCGACATTGCCGCTTATATTGAAAAGTAGCAACAACTTTGATTTTTTCAATGGGACACCCTGTATATCATTCCGTTTTCAGATTCTCCCTGAAGAGCTGATTTCATCGATCTATCACATTTGGGGTCTAACCGGCCATAATAACAAAGATATAAGGTGTGAAAAATCGATATTTTTCAACTTCAATAATTTTTTGTGTAGAAACTATTTATCATTGGTCAAAACGGTTTCCATGTCTCTATCTCAACTTTTCACGTACTATCAATTGATATTTAATCGAAATAGATACAGGGTGGTTAAAAAATCTTAATTCTGAACCACCCTGTATTTATTTCAATTGAATATCAATTGATAGTAATAAAATGTTGGGGTAGGAACATGAAAACCGATTTGACCAATTACGAATAGTTTCGACACAAAAAATTCCTACAGTTAAAAATTTCGATTTTTCACATCCTATAACTCTGTAGTTATCACTGCTAGGCCCCAAGTGTAATGGGTCAATGAAATCAGCTCTTTAGGAAGAATCTGAAAATGGTATATACAGGGTGTCCCATTTAAAAAATTAAAGTTGCTGCTACTTTTCAATAGAAGCGGCAACGTCGCAATGCCGAGAATATTAGAATTCCATAGAACACAACTAATTATTTAAGGCACCAACTTTTCAGAATAATTCTGAGTTGCGTTCTCCAGAAACATCTAATGCGTCATCCACCGTGAATCACCCTGTATACACCGTGTCCCCCCCTGTAAAAAAATCCACCGCAAGATCGAATGACTTGAAATTTGGTCACCCAGTATATTTAATGATGCTCACTCGAAATATGCTATTGAATAAATCTTAGGTATACAGGGTCGCACCAAAGTGCACATCAACTTCCTCATTCAAATAGTGACACCCGGTATATTATTCCATATTCAAGTAGAGTTCATTATGACAAATTCAACAATGCGGGGTTTGATGGGATTTTTTAAAACTACTACGAAGATATGGCAAAAAATAAAACGATTCAATAAAAAATTTATACAGGGTGGCTCACGGTCGATGGTACCTTAGACGTATACGGAAAACGGTACATTGGATTATCTTGAAAGTTTGGTTATTCTAATAAGCGTTTGTGATCTAACGATTCAAAATATTTTCAGCGAAGCAGCGTTGCCACTTTTACCAAAAAGTAGCATCATCTTTGTTATTTCGAATGGAACCCCCTGTATTTTATTGCGTTTTTAGATTCTTCTCGAAGAGCTGATTTCATCAATGCATCACACTTGGGGTCTAGCAGGAATTATTACAGAGATATAGGGTGTTCAAAATCGAGATTTTTCAACTTTAGGATTTTTTTGTGTCGAAACTATTCATCATTGGTCAAAACGGCTTACATGTCCCTATATTAACTTTTGATTAACTATCACCGACATTTAATAGGAAAAAATACAGGATGGTCCAAGATTCAGAATTTCGATCACCCTGTATCTGTTCCAATTCAATGTCAGTAGATAGTGAATCAAAAGTTAAGATAGGGACATGTAAGCCGTTTTGATCGATAATGAATAGTTTCAACACAAAAAATTCCTGAAATTGAAAAATCTCGATTTTGAACACCCTAATAATTCCTGCTAGACCCCAAGTGTGATACATTGATGAAATCAGCTCTTCGAGAAGAATCTAAAAACGCAATGAAATACAGGGTGTTCCATTTGAAATAACAAAGATGATGCTACTTTTTGGTAAAAGTGGCAACGCTGCATCGCTGAAAATATTTTGAATCGTTAGATCACAAACGCTTATTAGAGTAACCAAGTTTTCAGGATAATCCAATGTACCGTTTTCCGTATACGTTTAAGGTACCATCGACCGTGGGCCACCCTGTATAGGATTACCTTCGCCATTGGTTTGGACAAAATCTAATAACTACCAATTGTCTCGATGGTGATAGCAACTGGCCAGCTCGGTCGCCAGACCTCACCCCACTTGATTTTTATTTGTGCGGCTACTTGAAACAACAGGTTAATGAGTCGCCAATTGTGAATATGGAAGAAATGAAAGAGAAAATCACAAATTTATGCGCTCAAATTGATCACAACGTGATAAATAGGGTCAAAATAAACGTTATAAAAAGAGCTAGGAAATGTTTGCAGCAGAATGGACGACATATTGAGCAGTTGAGATTTCAATCATATTAATATTAATAAAACCTAATCATATAGATTTTTTATTGAGTCGTTTTATTTTTCGCCATATCTTCGTAGTCGTTTGCGAAAATCCCATCAAACCCTGCATTGTTGGATTTGTAATAATAAACTCTACTTGAATATGGAATAATATACTGGGTGTCCCTATTCAAATAGGAAAGTTTCGATGCACTTCAGTGTAACCCTGTATACCTACGATTTATTCAATTGCATATTTCGAGTGGGCATCATCAAATATACTGGGTGACTAAATTTCAAGTCATTCGATCGCACGGTCGATTTTTTACAGTTATAAAGTCTGTGAGGGAAATAAATAAATAATTGTCGTCGGTGTTTCCTATCAATGTTGAAATATTTCTGTTTTCCGATGGAACAATCTTTAAAATATAGAATTCAAATGCACAGGGAGAGCAAAACTGGTTATTTCAGCTTCATTATATTGAAAACGATATAAGAAATCTAAAAAGTGGTTCGTGAATAGGATTGGGTAAGGTGCGATTCAACCATTACTTCAAATTTTTCGTTGTTGAGGAAAATCCTTCATTTCAACCTGGCTTGAAATGGACCTCACTTTCCAGGTTTTCTATTCTTATAATAAATTTGAAACATCGCATTTCGCTCACTCTGTGCATCGAAATTTCGATAGTACACATACACAAAAAATAATTATAAATAGGTCAACATAAAATAAAATTCTTGAGGATAATCGAAAAAGATTTACAAGTCTGAAAAGAATTTCCTAGTTTTTATCTTTTTATCCCTCTTCTTGGGTAGTTCCTCGATGCTGAAAAAAATAAATCGACCATGTTAATAGTGATTTGACTTTCGAATTAGAAATGATGTCGAACCTCCGTGATAACCGACTTCTAGCAGACGCGTACAACCTCCTTGTTGTCATCAGTGCATTCAATTCATTTTGTTCACTTGAAAAACAGATCATTGCATAAAAACTACTTGACAAATGAAGTGGCCCACCTACATATTTCACCCAAATTTTAAATCAAATATTAGAAGAAATACACTCAGTTCCAAAAATAGTGACGCACTTGATATTGGACCTATCTTCTTAAAAAAAATAGGACCTTTTTTTTTAATTTGTTGGTAGGTCTTGTCTTTAAAAAAAATTAAGAGGTGAACATTTTTTCAAAGCCTTCTTGATGGTGGTGGAATAACTCGAACCATGATTTATTCTTCATTTTTGACTCACCCTGTGTGTTAATTGAGTAATCGTATACAAAGTACTTATACCCTATATGAAAGAGGCTTCTTTTGAGAATATTTTGTTTTCTAATTCATTGATTTATCTCTAAAATTTTCCGAATTACAGTTTTTTTGCTGATACCATACGCTTATCCCACAAATTAAATTTATTGAAGGATCAGAGCACTCAAAATTGATTGGGTTGTCTGGTAGAATCACATTGTCTTTAAAAAACAAATGCCGTTGCCATAGCAACTAATTTGTTGTATGCCTCCATATTTGACCATTTGTCATTGTGTCATCAATAAAGTGTCTTGTTTTATTGACTAAAATTACATTAAATGCCTCAAATAAATCCTGAACAAGTAGCAAGATTAGTTGCGTTACTAAACGATGGGCGTTTTAAACGTTACGCCGCTCGTGCAGTGGGAGTTCATGAAGCAACTGCTCATAGAGCAATCCGCAAGTACGAACAAACAGGAAGCACCGCTCGGAGGGTCGGTTCTGGTCGCCCCCGAAAATCTTCTACAAGAGATGATAGCTTCTTGAGATTGCGGATTCTACGGAATCAATCAAATACTGCGGTAAATGTTCAGCAAGATCTTCGCCAAATTCGTGATGTTGCAGTAAGTAAGCAGACGGTATGTAGACGTCTAAAAGAAGTTGATTTAAAAGCTAGGAGACCTGCAAAAGGTCCCAAATTATTGCCCGAACATCGTGCTGCTAGAAGAAATTTTGTTGAAAATTATGGACAGTGGAATATTCCTGAATGATCGAATGTCTTGTTTACGGATGAGTCAAGGTTTTGCCTTAACATGGTGGATGGAAGAAAAAGAGTGTGGAGAAGAACTGGTGAACGGTTTAATCAAAATTCAATAACAGAATGCGAAAGTTTTAATAGTGGGTCCGTTATGGTGTGGGGAGGGATTTCAATGAATGGAAAGACACCCCTTCATGACCCCTTCATGTTTTTTTTTCCGGTGAGGCAGTCGATGAATGCCCAAATTCACATTGTCATTTTAGAGCAGTATGTCTTACCTTATGCAGAGTTAGTGGGCAATAATTTTATATTGATGCAGGATAATGCCCGACCACACACCGCAGCAATAGTGCGAAACTTCTTAGAAGCTACTGGTATTACCACATTACAATGGCCTGCGAGAAGCCCCGATATGAATCCTATAGAACATTTGTGGGATGAAATAGGAAGAAGGGTACGTTCTCGCGAGAGGTCTCCGGAAGGTCTCGCAGAAATAGCAGATGCATTAGTGGAAGAATGGGATCGTATACCAATAGAAACGATAAGCAACTCAATTTCCAGTATGCCTCGTAGATTAGAAGTTCTTAGAGTTGCTCGATAAATTCAGAAAGTTGGTAATCTGCAAGGATTCAGCAAAAAAAAGCTGTAATTCGGAAAATTTTAGAGTAAATCAATGAATAAAAAAAATGCTCGCAAAAGAAGCCTCTTTCGTATAGGGTGTAAGCACTTTCTATGCCATTACTCAATCAACACACAGGGTGAGTAAAAAATTAAGAATAAATCATGGTTCGAGTTATTCCACCACCATCAAGGAGGCTTTGAAAAAATGTTCACCTCTTTTTTTTTCAAGACAAATTCATTACCTACCAACAAATTAAAAAAAATAAAAATCGGCCAACTATTTTTTTTTTTTTAAGAAGATTGGTCAAATATCAAGTGCGTCACTTTTTTTGGAATTGAGTGTACTAGTCATATTTTGGAAGAATTTGTGCACACAGTGGTTCTGTTTTCAGATCTACAGTATCGTAACTTCATATTTTTCATCCCCCCTTCCGTCACAAGTGGGTATACAGTGTCATTCATAAAGTCGGCATCATATGGGAAAAACTTTTATTAATGACTTATTTTGGAATTCGAGTTGGACGTTAAGTTTTGCTTCCAAAGAGATGAAAAATGGCCTACTCAATCGGGGTCACGTGACTTTCGCTACATGTCAAAAGTGACATTTTTTCAAATTAATTGCTGAAAGTAGGCTTATTTGTTCGAATATCGAAAAACTTTACTTGAAAAAGTTGTTTCTAATTCAATTTTACACATGCTTCTCGAATTTGATCTTTCTATTGCAACTTTTTGATTTTGATTTTTTTTTTATTTTTCGAAATTTCTGTAATATTTGAAGAATTGTTAATTCCACGAAACTACTTCATACCAGTAGCTTTTTCATGCTACTCACTTTCAATTACTTATTATCACTGATTATGGAAATAATGATATAGATATAGAATATATATACAGAAATATGATTTTCTTCAGAAAATGATAATACCCGCTTCCAAATTCTGTTATGTTTGATGCAAAGTTGATACATCGTCAAGCTTTTAGTAACGAAATTCAATTAAACTGATCTTTTCAGTACTGGAAAAATAAATTTAAATGAATTTCGTGTCTAAATGCTTGACTCAAACATAACAGAATTTCGATGTTATGTTTGCATCAAACATAACAAAATTTTGAAGCGGAGATTATCATTTTCTGAAGAAAATCATATTTTTGTCGATAATTAGTGATAATTAGTAATTGAATGTTAGTAGCATGATGAAACTACTGATATGAAGTAGTTTTATCGAATTTACAATTTTTTTAATATTACAGAAATTTCGAAATTTTTTAAAAAATATCGAAATCTAAAATATGTAATAGAAAATTAAAATTCGAGTCACATATGTAAAATTCAAATAGAAACAACTTTTTCAAGTAAACTTTTTCGATATTCGAACAAATAAGCCTACTTTCAGCGATTAATTTGAAAAAATTTCACTTTTGACATGTAGCGAAAGTCACGTGACCCCGATTGAGTAGGCCATTTTTCATCTTTTTTGAAGCAAAACTCAACGTTCAACTCAAATTCCAAAATAAGTCACTAATAAAAGTTTTTCCCATATGATGCCGACTTTATGAATGACACTGTATAAAAAAAATGAGCAACCAGCATATTGAGAAAACATATGTTACATGAAAACAACAAAATAACACAAACGAGAAGAAAAATTATACAGGGTGTCCCTAAGTTAGCCTGGCAAACTTCACCTGCGGCTTCTACGATCAAAAATAGGAAGAAAACTTTCAATGAACATGAGTGGAGAAATGTCTCCTAAGGAAGCTGCGGCCCCCTGAGAGGGGACTCCTGAAGATGATATTTCTTGAATATTTTTGAAACGCCATGTGTCAAAATGATGCGTTTCGGTACAAGAACGAATTTTTCCGTGCCCAATGCATTGAAAATAATATCATCCAAAAATTTCAATCAGGAGTGTACAATACAGTATGGGACCACATTAAATATTGCTCACTTTTTTATATGTATGTTTTTCGACAATTTAATTGCGAATTGTGAAAATCAACAACGTTTTACATAAAAAAGATGCTCTTGTTTCGTATCGATCAGATGTATCATTTTCGAGTGAAATCGATTTAAAAATATTGTTACACTCACATCTTATGCAGAACGTTGCCAATTCTCGAATCATTATGACTATAAAAGAAATCAACTACAAAACAAATTTAAAACACTTTTCGAAAATTCATATTTTCGAGAAACACTTTGAAACTCTGAAATGAAGATAGAAGCTTTTTTCTATCAAGTACAAGAATAGGACTTTCCCTTTAAAAGTGTCCAATTTCGCCCACCCTGTACATATCTCGTTGAACAGTGTATTTCCTAACTTCTAGCGTTACCTGAACATCCACTAGTGCAAAATATACCACATTTCATGCAATATTGTACAGGGTGTTCCTGAATTCAAGTGACAAAAGCCTAGGAGAGATTTCTCCTAGGATAACATGAAAAAAGCGAAAAAAAAGTATTGAAGGGTATTGAAATTTGAAAAATCAAATCAAATCAAATCTTCATTGACGCTTCTGCCGATCTGAATGACATTTTCTCAGTTTGTTGAAAATCTTATGAAGCATGTTTGGACCTCCTAGAATTCACTCAGTATTCAGGTTTATGCACGTAAAATAAAACCCAGATTTCTTTAGATGAAGCAATTCGAAACTCTGGTTTTTTGTTTCTTTCCTATCCAAAACTACTTACCAGGAGAAGTGGGACAGCCGAAATATTGTCTAATTTTGATAAGCTATAACTCGAACATTTCTTGGCCGATTTTCAACCAAAGGTAGAAAGCGTTATCCTTGGGCTATGCATCATTGGCGTCGGGTTTTTATTTTTGCGATTCGTTCTCTTTGTACAGAGTGTGAATTAAGAGCCAGAAAAATTTCAAATGTTTGAACAATAATTTGGGAAATGTGAGGGACCCTAGAATTCTTTTTCAGATGTTGGGTGAATGGTTGGACCGACACCTCGAGATGTCTTTGAAATTTTTTGGATAAATTGCGTTGCTATGGAAAAGTCACCATTTTATGAAATTTTCTTTTTATTTTAAAATGTGGCCTCTTTTGGTTGAACTATAACAGCCAACATCTGAACTGGAGGAAGGGATATTTCTACTGAAGATAATTAACACCAGTGGCGCGCAAAAAGGGGTTTATGATATTTAGAAACGAAAAATTGGTTTTTATTGAAAAAATTCAACAGTTTTATTGATCGTTACAGTTGAAGAGGTGTCATATCCTTAATTAGCATGTTGTTGACAAATTCAGAGGCGCGCAAAAAAAGGGTTCATGATATTTAGAAACGACAAAAACGTTCTTATTGAAAAAAATCAACAGTTTTATTGATCGTTACAGTTGAAAAGTTGCCATACATTCAATTAGCATGATGTTGACAAATTCAGAGGCGTGCAAAATTGGAAAATCAGAATTTGAGTCTCATTATCATTGTTTCTTTACTTATCCACGGTGAGCATCCAAGTTATCCATTGACGTATTAAAGAGGATCAATCATCAAGCCGATTCAAAAAGTTTGATATGGAAACATTTTCAATAATTTTATCAAGTTCCCCAGTGAAAATTTTCTTGTATCTTTATTAATGAATGAAAATTCAGAAACGTAATTCTGGCTTTTGATGTTTTTCGAGCCGTACAATTTTATAATTTTGTCAGAAAAAATTTAGAAAAATCTTGCTGATGTTTTTCAATAAAAACGTTTTTGTCGTTTTCTAAATTTATTATAAACTCTTTTTTGCGCACCTCTGAGTTTGTCAACATCATGCTAATTAAGGATATGACACCTCTTCAATAAAAACCAATTTTTCGTTTCTAAATATCATAAACCCCTTTTTGCGCGCCACTGGTGTTAATTATCTTCAGTAGGAATATCTTTTATTGCAGTTCATATGTAAGCTGTTATTGTTCAACTAAGAAAGGCGACATTTTAAAATAAAAATGGAATTTCATAAAATGGCGACTTTTCCATAGCAACGCAATTTATCAAAAAAATTTCAAAGACGTCTCGAGGTATCGGACCAATCATTCACCCAACATCTAAAAAAGAATTCTAGGGTCCCTCACATTTCTCAAATTATTGGTCAAACATTTGAAATTTTTCCGGCTCTTAATTCACACTCTGTACAAAGAGAGCGAATCGCAAAAATAAGAACCCGGCGCCAATGACGCATAGCCGAAGGATTACGCCTTCTACCTTTGGTTGAAAAGCCAACATCGGCCAAGAAATGTTCGAGTTATAGGTTATCAAAATTAGTCAATTTTTTGGCTGTCCCACTTCATCTGGTAAGTAGTTTATCTCATCTTTCATAATTTTTCGTGTTTCAGTTGATAAACTACCTATGTAGGTATGCTTTTGAAGAAAGAGTTGATTCGCATTTGTTTGAATAAAATAAAAAGAAAAAGGTTTGATAGGAAAAGAATCAGGCAAAAAGTCATTGAAAAAACTATAAGAAATTGGAAAAACTTGCTGAGTGTCAAGTGCTATTATTTGTGCTCAAAATGTCCTAATTTTTATGGAAGAAACCTTCCATAGGCTTTTGTCACTTGAATTCAGGAACACCCTATATACCATCATAAAAAGGGTATGAAATGTATACAATATGTCCCACTTACCATGCTCACCATGGGTATTTCTTTAACGGTGAGAGATACGAGGTCGGTTGAATGACACCAAATGTGGAGTTCGTCAAGGCCAACTATAATGTGAAAAAATATTTTGATAAAATCTATTCGTTTTTGTTTTATAGGCAAAAAACAGATTTTGATCATTTCCATGTCTCCTCCGTAACTTCTTTATTTATGAAAATATTCAAATAGGAATTTCACATTCTCATGACAGTTTTTCAAAGTAATTTCGAAAAAAATATGAAAATACCAACTCTTCTAGAATTTGAGATATCAGCACCAACTTTAGTTTTTCAAATGTAGGTCATAGCTCACTATGACTTAGTTACAAATAACTTTTTTTTCTCTTACAGATGATGTGTCGCAATAATAGTTTTGTTGTCATAACAACGGAGTTATCGTCATTTATACAAAAACAAAAAATTATTTGGAAGCCGCCATCTTGAATTCATAAATTTTAACAAAAATGATGATGATGATCTCCGACCTCAAAAACCCCCACTCACCAATGTTAAATGGAATCGGACCAAATCTTGTCCGCCATCTTGGAGCAGCCATTTTTTTCAATTTCAACAAAAATTTCATAATGTATTGTCACCGAAATTATGAACACTTGCCAAATTTCAAGTTAATCGGAGTTATGGAATTTTTGTTGAAATAAAAAAAATGGCTGCTCCAAGATGGCGGACAAGATTTGGTCCGATTCCATTCAAATTTGGTAAGTAGGGGTTTTTGAGGTCGAAGATCATGATTTTTTTGTTAAAATTTATGAATTCAAGATGGCGGCTTCCAAATAATTTTTTGTTTTTGTTTAAAAGACGATAACTCCGTTGTTATCAACACAAAACTATTACTGCGACACATCATCTGTAAGAGAAAAAAGTTATTTGTAACTAAGTCATAGTGAGCTATGACCTACATTTGAAAAACTAAAGTTGGTGCTGATATCTCAAATTCTAGAAGAGTTGGTATAAATTTCATATTTTTTTCGAAATCACATTGAAAACTGCCATGAGAATGTGAAACTCCTATTTGAATATTTTCATAAATAAAGAAGTTACGGAGGAGACATGAAAATGATCAAAATCTGTTTTTTGCGTATAAAACAAAAACGAATAGATGTCATCAAAATATTTGTTCACATCATAGTTGGCCTTGACAAACTCCACATTTGGTGTCAATTAACCGACGTCGTATCTCTCACCGTTGAAAAGATACCCATGGTGAGCATGGTAAGTGGGACACACTGTATAAAATGTGTCAAAAACAACAACTGATGAGATAAAGCCATTTCACTCTATACAGAGTGAATCATATTATTTTCTCACCTTGGTTTTTTGAACTCTTCCCCAGAAGCATCTAACGAAGATGAAGATGCCTGAAAAACGAACAAAAAATACGACAGTCAGACAGTTGCAACAGGGGGAGGGGGAGGAGGGGGTGAATTTTTGAAAAATCAAAAAGAATCTTACCGCGTCTCTATTTGCGCACATAGTTTCACTGCATTTACAGCCAGTTCCGCATTTGCCACCAAATTTTTTGCAACCGCATCGCCCCGTAGTGCAATTTGTTTTGCAATAGCAACCACCATCGGAAGATCTTTTCGGTGCCCTATTGGTTCTTTCATCCTCGTCGAAATCTGAAAAATCACACACGATTTCGTGTTCTCAGTTGGTTCCATTGAGCATAATACAGGGTGTAAATAGTCAAGAACCAAAGAAATCATAATAATGGGAGAGTGGACTTATAATGATAGCAGCAGAATTCCTCTTTCACATGAACTTTGAATCATGAGAAAATATGCATTTTTCTAAAAACGCTTAACAAAGTAGTCTTTGACGCTTTCTAATTCCAGCACAAGGTTGACGTTTTCCCAGAAATGTCATTCTTTGACAGCATTTGCGCTCGTGAGCGGAAATATTGAAAAAACGCTCGCACATCTCTTTAACCTATACTCATCTATTCTTGAACACCCCCAATTCTTTCATGATGGAAAATAGTGACAGCGAATCATCAAACACACCTCCTGATATAGCAGAAAGCGCAAGAGTTTGAATCTCTTACCGGAGAAATCAAGGAAGAAATATGAATTACAATATGATACATTCATAAATTGGTGCCACTCTGAGATGGTGAATATGTATTCAGAAAACGTTTTACTGGCTTATTTTGGTAAAAAATCAAAGACTTTGAAGTCATCAACTCATTGGTCTATACAGGGTGTTGCGAAATTCGACCGACAACGCTTGACAGGTGATAGCCCTCGTGATTTCATAATCACTGAAATAGGTACATACGGTCTTCAAGTGTTCAATTCTCGAGAAACAGGGAGTTGAAGTTAAGAAATAAAAATAGTTATTTCGCAATATCTCAAGAAAAATTAAATATAATGCATTCAACTTCGTTATATGGTTTCATCTTTGAATGGGCCATTTTTTGACCAGGAAGCCAATCCGGACATTTTATCCAGTGGTGCCCTACAGGGGGTTGTGGCAACTTTTCCTCCCATATTTTCTACGCCACTGATTGAATTTCAATTATTTCCAATTCCACGAATTCCTTGTTCAATTTTGTTCAAAAAATGCATCACCTTCAACTGAGATCAAATGAACAGTGTTTGAGATATTCGACCCAAAATAGAAGATTGCATAGTGATATTTCATCATTTTCAGTAGAAGAAAATTGCAAAAATATTTTTCTGGTGTTGAGTAGATTAGATACTATTCAGATATCATTCTGTAGCTGAACAGAAATAGTTATTCCACGCATAAAGAGACAACAAAAATTTTTGTAATTTTCTACTTCTGAGGAAGATGAAAAATTACTATGCAAACTTCTGTTTTGGGTCAAATATCTCGATAACTGTTCATTTTAGCTCAGTTAAAGGTGATGCATTGTTTCAACATAATTGAACAATCAACTCGAGAAAATGGAAATAATGAAAATTTTTTCAGTGGCGTAGAAAATATGGGAGGAAAAGTTATCACAACCCTCTGTAGCCTACCTCTGGATAAAATTCTCGGAATGTTTTTCTGGTCAAAAATCTAACCATTGAAAGATGAAACCATATACCGAATTTGAATGCATTATATTCACTTTTTATTGAGATATTGCGAAAAAACTATTTTAATATTCAAACTTCAACGCCCTGTATCTAGAGAACTGAACAGTTGGAGACCCTATGTCCCTATCTCAGTGATTATGAAATCACGAGAGCTATCACCTGTCAAGCGTTGTCGGTCGAATTTCGCAACACCCTGTATATTCGATGATACACGTATACATACATGCTTGAATGTTAAAGGTAATATCGGAAACAATAAGTATCTGAAACTTATCGCATTTCTCAAGAAACAATCTATTGGTTATAAAGCGAAAAAAATCCAAAACATTCACCGCTGAAGCATATCTGTTGAAAACGATGAATTATACTTCATATTTAAACTCTTTGTTGTCATCAGAAAGACAGTGTATCTTTATTTTATTGCATCAATGAGTAATGTTCAATTTGATTGCAGAGTTTGTCGTACTATGGCTCAGAGGTCTGAAGCTCAGGTTGCCACGCTGGTGGTCCAGTTTCAACTCTCGGTAGGCCCGACATTTTTTTTCTGGCTTGTCAGTTATTTCAATTTTTCTCTTTTTGTTTCCTTTGAACATATGGGATAATATGGATAAGAACTTTTTCAACTATTTCAATCGCTCATACTTTCAGGGCAGTTATTTCCAAAAGCTGCGATAGTAGAAAAAAATCATGTGTGTATTTCGAGCACAAAGTGTTATTGCCGCTCTCCAAAGATTACCGCGCTCCGCTCCGCATCGCGCGGTAACTTTCTTTGTCGAGCGGCAATCTATCACTTTGCGCTCTAAATACACAGATAGCTATTTCAACAAAGTTATTGAATAATTTGTCCCCCCGCCGATGTGTAAATACACGGACTATGCTCTCCGGCATACAACACAGAAGCGCGTGCCGTTTTTCTCGAAACCGGGCAAATTTTCGAGAAAAATGATAAGGACCATTTTTGTAGAAAATTAACTGAACTTCAATTTTTATCTGAACCGAAAATCTCTAACTGCCATATTTTAGGAGATATTGGCTGAAAACCTATCTTTCTGGTCTTTTGGGGTCATTTTCTCCGCCATCGCACGCGTTTTCCAGTCAAACTTTGTCTCAAGTTTAATGAGGTACCAAAAGCTACTTCCAACCAGAAGATGAAAATAGTGCGTAATTAATGTTAACTTTTTCCCTTTATTTATTGGACTAGTAGTGGGGCAAACACTAACCAATTAAATTCGAATAAGAAACGACGTTCTTCAAGATGTTGCGGCATCTGCTATATTACAGCATGCAACAAACACAAATTGCACTTTCAATTTCAATATTTACCATCGTTGATGTTTTAGTTATTGTTATATAAATGTTGTTTTAAAAGATTTCCTATTATATCGATGATAAAAAAATATATTTCATGTAACTATTCTGTCTTATGGTCATTTTGTAGCATCATTATTGGTCTCACGAGTAAATATAACATGTATGCAGATGATACAGTACTTTTATATGAAGGCAAGAATCCTTCAAATTTAGAAAATATGATAAATGAAGACTTGAAAATATTTGAAAAATGGCTCCACTCTAACCTTTTATCGATAAATACTAACAAAACAGAATATATGATTTTTCACCAAAAAAATAAACAAAAAATTTACCTCAACCTTAAAATGAAAAATGAACTCTTAAAACAAACTGACCAGATAAGATATCTTGGAATTTGGTTTGATGGCAGGTTGAAGTGGGACAAACATATTGATGTTCTGACAAAAAAAATATCTCCAATTATTGGTGCATTGAGAAGATGTCCCAAACGTGATATAAAAATTGCAAACATGATTCTCTACTCTCATATGCTGAGTCGTATCAACTATTTAATAAATGTTTGGAGAACTTGTTCAAAGAACAATTTCAATAAAATATCAACATTATACAGGATGGGCCACCAGTTACGTTAGAAAATCGTTAAAAGTATTGTATCGTCTCCCATTTGATACACCAACCAATCAAGTGTTTGAAATAACAAATACGTATTCTTTAGATGAAATATATAGAATTGAACTCTTAAAATATCATATAATATCATAAATAAAAAATTGAAGTCGAATTTTATGTTGATACGGAATTGTGAAATTCATAATCATGAAACAAGAAAATATAACTTGTTTCATCTTGACGCCGCTAGCTCCATTATCGGATAAAAAAGATTCACTCATTCAGCCTTAACTGAATTCAATAAACTACCTGACAATATAAAAAATTGCAGAAATATAGGTGCATTCAAAAATGAAGTGAAAAAATTGATTATTTCTGAGCGAACTGGATAAAATTGAACATGCCATTTTTTTTTACAAATATTATTCTTTGTTTGTCAATTTACAGTTGTTGATATATTTTGTATAATGATATGTTTACCTATAGGTATATAATTATGTACTTCCTTATACCAGAGCCTATTCTTTCTGAAAGTTATTTGTTCAATGAATAAATAAATAAATAAATAAGATTGGAGTATTATAAAATATTAATTAAAAAACCACTCTTCTTTCATAAATAATATGGACAAAAACACTCGTAGGAAAAACTTTGCACTCAGCTCTTGCGGAAAAGTGTTACTTTCCGCACTTGTTAGGTAAATAACTATTGCCTCTCATCTTTGTTATATTCTCTCTCTTTTCCAATGGGTTTCATCTAACCATTCTTTTTTTTTCACTTTTTACCGTTTTCAAAGGCTTCAGCACTGGTCTCAGAGCGTTGAAACTTAAGAAGAATGAAGTTGACAATATGAAAATTATTGGAAATATTCAAGTGACTCACCTAGAGCAGATCTTACGAAGGTAAATTTCTTTTTTTCTTCCAGCAATCGTTTGGCCAAAGGAGTTTTTCTCCAATCAGGGTCATTTTCTAAGTCATCGTCAATATCGGATAAACTATTGTCCAGATCCTTGAAAATAAAAAGGGGGAATTTTGAATTCACCGAACTAAATTATGAACATAAAATACAGTGTATCCTGCTTCAATTTTCTTTCTACAAAATGTACTACTCAAAAAGATCTATCAGAGTTTGATTTAAAACTTCATGTTTTTCTGTGATCTGAATTAAATACCCGTGTACGGATAAATTTCATGTACAGTGTGTCAACTTTTCGGTGCGTGTGCGTGATATCTCAGTTATCTTTGGAGAAGCAACCAATTGCCACACTAGTGCGGAAAGTGACCATTCACCACACTAGTGCGGGATGTAATCAATTACCACACAAGTACGGGAAGTGGCCGATTTCCACACTAGTGTGATAAGTGGCAAATCTCCAGAATACTATGATAAAAGACTAAAATACATATACACTAATACGGGAAGTAACAAATTAGCACGCCGGTGCCAGAATTAACCAATTCCTAGAATAGTACGGGAAGTGAAAAATCACCACACCATTGTACAAAGTGATGAATTTGTACACCAATATCCAGATTTCGATGCTTTTTCCTACGACTACTCCTGTAAGTGATGGATATTGTACACAAAACAATGGCAGTAAGCTTCTCCTTACACACGTGTGAGTAAAGAGAGCGATCGCATGATTTTCATAGGTATGTTGATAGATGACTTTGTTTTGTTGCTTAGGCGATGTGTCAATAACAATTAACAATTTCATTAATGTCACTAGCTAGGTGGGTAGATACTTATCTTTTTATCAATCAATCCAGCTATCCACCGAAACCGAAAGCATCAGGTACCTAAGTTATATTTTTTGAAAATATGAATATTTTCTATTGATAATCCTCAATTTCAGTTATAAAAAATGCTGTCAAGCGATGACGATGAGCAGATGAGAAATGTTGGAAAAAGCTAGAATGGTAAAAAATGAGTTGCTACCCGCTAAGTTTCGTGAATGATACGAAATAGCACATCAAAAATTCCTGGACTGGAGAATTAGAAATGATACCAGAAAATATCCTTTTAGTATATTTTCAAGAATAATTATCAAATTCGATGAAATCATCATCATGCTGGTCGATGAAGGTTCAAATTGATGAACCTACGAACTAGATTTCATGTCCCAAAATTGGTTGCGATAGCTGCAGTAGTACCGAAGTTATAAACCGAAAAGTAGTTTTTGAAGGTCATCTTCGAAGGGCTCTAGCTTCCTGAAGAAGCGTTTCCGGACCCATGTTCACATGAACTTTTTTTCTTATTTTCGTGTGTTTTATCTACCCTAGAAGTTTGTAACATGATCACCGGAACACCCTGTATATCATTTCCAAGGGAAAAAAATTGGAATTTAATGAGCTTATAAAATTTAAAAAATTGAAATCTTTGTGAATCGGAAACGATGATAAATATTGTCACCATTGAATTTTTCATAAAAAATTACCCCCAAGCACCGACATCAGTTGTTATTCATCTAAACTGGGCGTCAATTGAAACGTTCCTAGTGAAATTTGGCATCAAGTTTGACTTCTCGTAATTTCTAAAATATTGAACGAATTTTGAATTGCCGCCCAGATTCTGAATGCCTTCTTCATCGTCTTTCGAACCGTTCCTTACAGCTTCTTCTAAATTGATCAGGACCCGTGATACAGGGTGAAACAAAGTTTCGTGCATTTTGAAAAAAAATTCTCCGCCCCCCCATTTTGTCAGAAGACCACGGTGCTCATATTTTATTCGGGCATTTTATAAATAGCAACCATACCTCGGGACGTTTTCGAGTTTCTGCCAAAAACTACTGTGGTTTCCGAAAAAAATTTTTTTTTGCATTTTTTTTAATGGACTCACTTTAGAGACGTTTCATTAATGGATGCTTTTATGCATTTCAGGAAATCGTTGAAGCAGATATGTATACCAGGTTACTCAAAAACAATCAATAATTTATTACTTCGCAGTCTATGATAAAAGTTTTCTACATTAGTGAGCAGTAAATCAACACATCTCATCAACAATTACAAACAACGATACCTTGTTTCCATAACAGCGTATTGTTGAAACAATGTAGGTATGCATAGAGGTTATATCAATTGTCAATTTTCATGAAAACGTCAGTGTAATTCGGGTCCTAAAAAATTTAAAGATGCCTCGTTCAAATCGGGTCGAAATGGAAAATATCATTAGGTAAGATCACTATAGTGATATTAACTATAATTCAGTACAGATAATTATTATTTCAGGTTACGACGATTGGGATATACCCAAACTCATTTAAGTATCATTTTCAATAAGTCAGTCATGACAATAAAGAGACTGATTTATCGTTTTGAGGATACAGGTAATTAGTCCATTTAAAAAAAATGCAAAAAAATTTATTTTTCGGAAACCACAGTATTTTTTGGCAAAAACTCGAAAACGTCCCGAGGTATGGTTGCTATTTATGAAATGCCTGAATAAAATATGAGCATCGTGGTCTTTCGACAAAATGGGGGGAGCGGAGAATTTTTTTTCAAAATGCACGTAACTTTGTTTCACCCTGTATCATGGATCCTGATCAATTTAGAAGGAGCTGTAAGGAACGGTTCGAAAGACGATGAAAAAGGCATTCAGAATCTGGGCGGCAATTCAAAATTCGTTCAATATTTTAGAAATTACGAGAAGTCAAACTTGATGCCAAATTTCACTATCAACGTTTCAATTGACGCCCAGTCTAGTTGTATGAATTGGAGTTACAGTAAGCCATGAAATGATGGATCAAGTCAATTCAAAGACCATTTTGGGTAGTGAATTTTGAAAGAAAAAATTGAATCGTTCATTCTACTTCAAAATACAAGCAAGCCACTGTGTGTTTAGCAAAAATTAAATTTTCTGAGAGTCTAGACAGAATAACTACTTACATCAACTTTGACAAAGGTCACATCGTTAACTCCATCTTTAGGGGCAGAGATTTTTATGTTCTGTGTCTTTTCATGAAGGATTTTCTACAAAGATAACATGTCAGCAATTATTTTACGAATTATAAGAATAATTACTCACCTCTTGTTTAACTGCAACGGGTGTATGCATTGTGTTCCTATGTTCTGCAGATAACTTCTGAAAAAAAAAAAGTTTATGCAATAGATCTCTTTTCAACTGTACACACTGTTTTACCACTAACCAAACCGATTTTTACACTTCCACAAAAAAAATCTTCAGAAGATTAAACTCTATCCTAGTGAGCTACTTATACATATACCTAGTTTATAAGTAGCCCACTAGGTTAGAGCATTTAACATAGTTAGCTCATTATTCGAGGTGCGCTTCGTGCCGTTTTTCTCGAAACCGGGCAAATTTTCGAGAAAAATGATAAAGACCATTTTTGTCGAAAATTAACTGAACTTCAATTTTTATCTGAACCGAAAATCTCTAACTGCCATATTTTAGGAGATATTGGCTGAAAACCTATTTTCCTGGTCTTTTGGGGCCATTTTCTCCGCCATCGCACGCGTTTTCCAGTCAAACTTTGTCTCATGTTTAATGAGGTACCAAAAGCTACTTCCAACCGGAAGATGAAAATAGTGCGTAATTAATGTTAACTTTTTCCCTTTATTTATTGGACTATTGGCCTGCCTACAACCTGTGATTTTTCTCCATTATTCTCCTAGTGCCTTGTCCGCCCATTCATCGAGGGCTGACGTAATTTGGCTCCTTGATATACCTAGTACAGGCTCTGGCCCCAGAAACGGCTCCGCGGATCCGGCCCTAGCAAGTTCGTCTGCTGTTTCGTTTCCGGGCAACCCACTGTGACCCGGGACCCATACCAGTTCAACTTCCTTTGATTCTGCTAATATCTCAAGGGCATTTTCACATTCCTGTACCAATGCTGAGCTCGGTCTGGGATGACAGATTGCCTTGAGTGCTGCCTGACTGTCCGAACAGATGCTGCTCTGGTCCCTCTTTCACCTCATGTCTCTCTGCTAGGACCAGGATGGCGAACACCTCGGCTTGGAAAACTGTGGTGTATTTTCCTAGAGCGTAGCTTTCTCGTATGTTTTGGCCCTTCGAGATAGATTCCTGCACCCGAGGCCTGTCTGTCAGTCAGACGGGATCCGTCTGTGTAACATACTAAACTTCCTGGGCGAAACTCTACTGTATTGTTTCTCCATTCATCTCTGCTTGTAATGGTAAGTTTGAACTTCCTATTCCATCTCAGCTTGTCCTGTACTTTATCGTTACCACCGATACAACAAGGCCAGCAGACTCTGACGTAAACAGCTCGTGACGTCACCAAGAGAGGCCAGTGTTTTATTTTGTCGCTTGTCGACTAACGCGTCAGTTCGTGGTAATTCATCGGTGATTCACGTATGTTTTTGAAACGGTCCCGAATTCTTTTGTTGTTTATTCATCAAAATAATTGGCGAAAAAATTACTGTTTTGTGAAATATTTTGTGTTGTGATCGGCGAAATAACAATGCCTTTCAAGTGTTCCCTTTTGTCGGGGGAATTATGTGGGTGGATCAAAAGTTCATGCTTTTAGTTTCCCGTTGGACGAGGAGCTATCGAAAATGTGGGTATATGCAATTCACCGCGAGGATTTTACTCATCTAAGTGCAGTAGTAAACAGAGCTTAATTTATAATGATGAATTAATAATAGAAGACAATTACTCTCTCATGAAAAGTATAAATAGAGGAAAAATAGAAAAGCTTTGATTGTGCAGTTAGTTTTGTATTCGTTTGATTGACTATTGATTAAATGGTCATCATCTGGAATGCTTGTTCACAAAATATGAAAAACTCGCCATGAAAATCATATTTCCTGTTGAATTTTCTATATAAAAATGTGCCATCGAAGTACATCATGAGTATATAGAGTGTCCTATGACAAAATAAGAGCAAGTAGCTTCAAATGCCCCCAACACAAGGGGAGAAAGATGGCGAAATTTCGAACTTTTTCTTGAAATATCTCAATAAATAGTGGTTTGTTCACATTTTCATTATAAAATTCGGTTTATCAGACAAAAATACGTGAGTACCGAAAAACATTTTCGAAAAAACAAAACCATCGCATGATAAATGCAGTTTTACCCTTGAAAATTACGGTTGCAAGTGTAACGATCCACTTAGGTGAAAAATCCAACAGCAGAAAATTGAAAACACTCACTGGTTATTTTTTCAGGTAATAGGAATTCTCCAAGATAAATATAGGTAATTGTAACAAACGGCATGTCAATCAAAATAAAATACATTTTCCACAATTTTCTTTCGATCAATCTCACGATAAGTTTATGTTCTGCGGGCCCTGTATAAGTAGGTGTGAAGTTTACCTACACCACAATTTTTGCCAATATTTGTGTTTTATGCTGGTTTTTGCTTTAAAACTTCGTTTTTCCATAATAAAATCGAATGGGGTGCGAAGAAGGGCTCAGTTGTCGACTGGCATCCTTTTTTAACCGGAAGCCCTTCAAAAAACAGCAAAATCGGCTCAATGATGATCTAAAACTAAAATCGAAATACGCGGTCGCCTTATAGCGCTATAAGCGCTTGTCGTTTCGAGCCGCTGGTTAGGCCTCACTAAGTGACGTCACCCACGGAGCATGCAGGCCTTGTTGTATCGGTGGTAACGACTTTATTCACTCTGAGAGTGGAGATAGGAATCTCTTGCTCCACCCACTCTGCTATTTTTGCATGTCCTGTTATTGTTCCTCCACTTGCCCAGTTTCCTGAGTCCCGCATCCTTAGGTGAGCCGCCATCGCGGTGATGTAGTGATAAATGAAGTATGGAATGACAGACAAATGAACGAAAGGAAATGAAAGTACATTTTCGTCGACAGAAAATTATTTTGAAATCATCGATTTGAAGTCAACAGCCGAACCCAAGAGTTTTCTTTCAGAGAGTTCAAAAGCACCTGGAGTATCAATGAGTTGTCGAATGTTCAATAATAGTTAAAAGTATGTGGTACGTGGGGAGTATAATATATCACAACAATTTCAGCAACACCCAGTAACATCTTTATCAAACATACCTCAATGAACTTTATTCTTTCATTCAGTTCTTTATTGGATACTTCAAGCGCCATCTTTTCTTCTTTCAGTAGTGTAATCTCCTCCTCCATTTGGTCGATTTTTTTCTGTTGAATTGAGTAAGTCGACGCTTCATCTGAAAATTATCACAATCCAAAATTCCAAGAGAAAAAATAATCAGATGTTCAAAGACATACCATTCTCATCACAACTGCCTCTAATTCGCCTCAACAATATTGCTATTTTCTCCTCATACTCCCGTTGAAGATCCACAAGATTCTGAGCACATTTTTCATCCTTCTCCTTCAGACATTTCTCTTGATGCTTATTTTTTTCTTGTGCCTAGAAAAACATCACTCATTTCCATCTGCCAAAATAACCAGTCATGAGTTAGGAGAATTCAATTTCCGAACCTCAATCGGAAGGCAAGCTGCCCACGAACGATAGAAAAAATTCAATAATAAGACAAAATACTGAGTACTAATTTGACTAAAAAATTATTCCAGACATTTATGGGATTTTCTCTCCTCGTCTCTATAAAACAAAAATATGAATACTATTTCAATATACGTGTAGTTGGGACAAATCAGATGATTTGCCCCAAAATGTCACTGCATTCAAAGAAATTTCCTATCAGGGAGCCTAAAAGAAAAATTCACTAGCTTGTCAGTGACAATTTGTATTGAAAAAGGTTTGGACGTTTCGGAAACGAATCTGCTCACGTTTTTTAACATAAAAAATGGATATTTGTAGAGTCACTGGATGGTATTAGTTTGATAAGAGTTCGGACACAGCTGAACTTTTGTCCTTTTCTATTTTCTATAATACAATGGTTTGAGTGAATAAAAGAATAAGACATATATTCTGCTCCTTGTCTTTTCAATTTCCCTAGTAGCGCCTGATTGTCAGATACGATTTTAGAGGTTATATTTTCTGTCAAATCAATCATAGTCGTAGATGGACGATGGAAATAGGGTACAAACACCCACTTCAATTTATAGTGATATACTTCTAGCAGAACAACTGTTATATAAATGAAAAGAATGCATGTACCAACGTTTTAATATTAGAAAATATACACATATGGATAAACTTATAGCTATAATTCCTTATTATATGTCAAACTGTACTCCAGTGATAAGTATGAAACATGAAGTTATTAATATTAAATTAAAGGTAGGTATTCTCAATATACAGGAAGTAACATAAGTACGTTCAAGTGAATTATTTCTGGGAAAATTTCAAGAAATAAAGTCTATATAAGCTTGTGTCCGGAAATGCTTGATTCCGGAGATACAGGGTGTTGAAACACTGAGAAAAAATCATTTTTCGATAAACATTTCATGGGAAAAAAGTAGTTTATTTTGACGAGACCTACCAAATACTTTTTTCTGTGAAGTTCTCAGCAACTTCACTTAGCGCTCTAGGATCGATATAGAAAAAATCTCCAAAACGATAACACCCATCGTAATTAAGGCCCTTATAATAATTTCATTGGTACATAAATAACTATTCACTTCTCACTGTTGAATTTTGAATTTGATCGGCACCACAAACGCCATTCAATAATATATCACGTTGTAGTTTCCTTGCTTTTCTGAGTTTCGTTTTCAAATTTTCAATTTCATAATGTAATTTTGCGATCATTCCCCCTTTTTCCATGATTATTCTGTTTTGTATCTTGTGTGATGATAATAATGGAATATTGTTCTTGAAATCGTCTGCTCTGTAAATTTATGGAACAGCAGATTCTCAGATCTCAAGAATTTCAAAGAAATCAAGGTCCGTCACTCATCAAGTTCACTTCAACACGACATGTCGCAGCGACAATGGCTGCTCAACACAATGTAATCCATATTTTACCCCCTTTTGGGAAACACATTTTAATTTGTTTGTAACGTATTTTACCTCAATGTCGTTTGTTTTAAACTGGACTAAAGATATTGTTATGGACGAATTTTCCTGTTAACCTGACGAGTACGCGCTGATGATGACTCAACAGTCGAAAGCGCTCTGCTACAAATATTGAAAAAATTATATTGCACGAAATACAAATCTTCCCTTCTTTGATAGTTAATGAATAATCTGTAATAGTATGATTCATTTTACAACTGAAAAGTGAAATGGCAAATAATACCTGGAAAGATTGACTGATGTGATTGCACGACTTTTTTCTTGTTAATAAAAGTTAGATCCAACATTGTCTATCATATTTTCACAATCAAAATTACTGAAATAAGTTATAAGCTGTTCGTTGATTGAAATTTTTTGTCAATAAGTTTTCGATGAAATTCATGAGTATTTCAAATCAGGTTTGGTGATTTTGCAATATAACCTTCATTATTTCCAAAGATATATTTCTGAACTCTCAGGGTTGCTTTGATATTTGAATAGTTGTAGATAATGTATAGTATTCTACTAGCACATAATGACTATGCACTTTCATCTTCGTGCGTAAACGCAGTGACATTTTGGGGCAAATCATCTGATTTGTCCTAACTACAAACATATTGAAATAGTATTCATATTTTCATTTTATAGAGACGAGGAGAGAAAATCCCAAAAAGTCTGGAATAATGAAAGTACCACCTCCTCGATTAACCTACAAACAGTATCCAATCATTACCTCGTTGTACATGTCCTCCCATTCGCTCAATTTGGTTTGCATTTGCACCCTTTCTCTGTGGACGTCTGCAGCTTTCAAACACACAAATTTCATACCGAATTTAGCCTCGCCCATCGTTTGGAATTTCTCCCAGAAAGGCTTCGATCTATGTTCTGCAACGACAATGTAATGAGATGTCATAAATTTACTCAAATTTGTGGGAAATTCAAGTTCCCTGTACAAATTTTCATGAGTATTGTTTCAATTTTTCGGATGACATGGAATATTCTTCAATTTCTTGTAGTTTCCTGAACAACCCCTTCTGTATCCTATTTTTTTCTGAATATATCTCGAAATTCCTTGATATTTCTGAAAATACCTTGTAATTTCCTGAAGTTCCTTACTGATATTACTTATAATTTCCTAAATTTCATTGACATTTCCTGTAATCCTTCAAAATTTCTTGATAAATATAAGTTTGTGCTAAATTTCAAACTCAATAAATTTATTCAAATTCCCTGAAATTCCCTAAACTTCACTCAAATTCCCTGAAATATACAAAAATTCCTTGAAATTTAAAAACATTCTTTGAACTTTCCTGCAATAGCATTCAACTTTCCTGAAGTTACTTGCAAAATCCTGTAATTGCTGGAGACTTCCTAAAATTCCTTATAATTTCTAAAAATTCATCAAAACTTCCTGTAATCCATTGAAATTTCTCTGGAAATGAAAATTAACAAATTGAGCGCGTTTTTGCCCCACCTTTCCGAGGAAAAACTCGAAAATTACTAGAATAACCCAATATTTTGTTAATCCTAAAATTCCCTGTTATGTCCTAAAATTTCATGTTACTTCCCAAAACTCTTTGAAATATCCTGTGATTTCCTAAAATTTCTTGAAATCTCCAAAAATTACTTGAGAATTTTTAAAATTAATAATAATTTCATATATTTTATGAATATTTCCTAAAATTCATTCAAATTTTTTAGGATAATGATTTAGTGTAAAAATTTCAGAGGTGACTTGCCAGTGAAGATCCATAAAATAATTACTATAATTTCTTGTTATTCACCAAAATGCGCAGTAAACTCCGAAGCTTTCTGGAGCTTGAGACTAATTACTATTTTTTTTTTGTAATTTCTCAAACTCCATCTTATTCCCTAAAATACCCTGTAATTTACTAAAATTTCTCAATTTCTTGTGATTTCCTAGAAATCTTTGAAATTATTCAAGACATCGAAGTTTGCTGTACAAAATTCCAAACGCATTTCTCTTCAGTATTTCTTAAAAATCCCTAGAATAACTATGTTTATTCATAACTCCCAAGAAATCCCCGTAATTTCCTGAATTTCCTTAACTATTAAACTTGTCATTCCTTAAAATTCCATGAAATTTCTTAGGAAATGAGAACTTTTTTTACAAAGTTTCAAACGATGTTATGTAGTTATTTCTTGGAAAATCTTGAATTTCATGAAATGTTTTATTATTTCTCGAGATTTCTTAATATTCCTTGAAATTTCTTAAAATTCTTTCTTAGGAAATGAAAAACTTTTGCACAAAGTTTTGAACGAGGTTATGTTGTTATTTCTATGAAAACCTCGAATTTCTTAAAATGTTCTATTATTTCTTGAAAGTTCTCTGGAAATCAATCCTTCTTAGTGAAGATTCATCTGCAGCTATTATTTAGGTATTTTTTGAAACGCCTGCCAACTGATTCTCAATTACACAATGTCATAAAATTGCTAATAATAATAAACTACTCAACACTAATTTCGTCGCACACCAAAATGTCGCCCCTGTTATAATGTGAATAACTTTTTTCAGTTTAGAACAATTTGAATTTGGTTCACACTGTTCGATAGCCCAGTCCTTTAGCTATAATCTCGTACTTCATTGAAACATAAGGGTATTCACATAAAATCTCTACATGGTGTTTTCCGACACTGTGCAAAATTTCGGAATATTCAAAAGGCTCTCAAATGGTGAAACATTTTTTTTCTCAACTTCGACAACACAGGCATGGAGATGATCTCATTACCTCGAGATATTTCGCGAATCAACTTCCTATCTCTCTTATTTACAGAGTGATCTCAAAAAATCAACTTTTTGGTTTTGCAGCCATAACTTTTTTCCACGTCAACCGATTTTGGAAATCATTTTGGCTCATTTTGAAGATAAAACTTTAGATGAAATGTGAATAAGAGAAGGAAGTTGATTCGCGAAATATCTCGAGGTAATGAGATCATCTTCATGCCTGTGTTGAGAAAAAAAAATGTTTCACCATTTGAGAGCCTTTTGAATATTCCGAAATTTTGCACAGTGTCGGAAAACACCATGTAGAGATTTTATGTGAATACCCTTATGTTTCAATGAAGTACGAGATTATAGCTGAAGGACTGGGCTATCGAACAGTGTGAACCAAATTCAAATTGTTCTAAACAGAAAAAAGTTATTCACATTATAACAGGGGCGACATTTTGGTGTGCGACAAAATTATTGTTGAGTAGTTTATTTGAAAGTGCAGATACCCAATAAGAAAATGGAAAATACCTTCGTCAGAGTCGGAGAGCTTTTGCTGCAGATCATGGATCTGAGCCGATCTCAATTCGAGATCCTCCTCTATGGACTTGCACTCCTCGGAATTCTCACTATCTGGAGCGTTTTTCAACTCGTTGAGCTGCTGCATCAGAACGGCTCTGTCTTCCAGCAAGACGTTCAAAGTAGCTTCTGCTTCCACCAAATTCATGTACAACTCGTACTCCCGTTTCAGCTACGAAAAACCATGAAGATCAAGAAGTCTATCGATCTCTACAGGGTGTTTCATAATATGTAAGACACACTTCCAGAGGTAATAGGCGAATCTTGCTAAGGAGTACGCCCTCTACCGGTGTCTAATATAACTAACGTATGGGCCATTGACTGATTTGTTTACATCAGTTTGCGTGTGTTTTGTATCGGAAATAGTTGTGTTTTAATTGTCTTTTAATTTTGTTTGAGGACAATCCAAACTTGTATTTGAAACTAAGTTGGGAAACAAGGAAGTTAAAAAAAAGTGATCCTGATACTCCAGATTTTTTTCCGGTGCCCCCTGTATATGCGGCAATAATTTCTAGTTATGGACCTTGTTGTCTCACATTCTTCTTGAATGAAGTTTCCAGCTATCATAGAACTCGAGCAATCGAGCTCCGACACACTAATACCCCACCCTGTATACCCCTCATGCTCCATGCCCTCACAATTGTACGGGCATTAGCTAAGTGATTTATAAGAATCAAAATATTATTTTGCTGGATTGAGAACCAGCCACTATGCTTGTGAATGTTCTATTTGCACGGAACAAACCGCATTTGCTGCTTATTTTATTATCAGGCGGCGTAAAAAAAATAAATCATTGTGTGGTGCAATTGGTCTCGACTGAAAAATGTTTCCTGAAGGTAAGTGAATCAAAAACATCAACTATATATGATATTGTGAATGATTTTATGCATTGAATGGCAAATGGAAACATGATTCGACATGGTGGTTCACAGCGACAACCTTGTCACCAGGCCTAGATATCAACTCACCTTGCCACTAGGCCTAAGTGTCAACCCACTTTTACCAGGTCGAGATGTCGACCCAGCTTGTCACCAGGCCTAGGTGTCAACTCACCTTGCCACTAGGCCTAAGTGTCAATCCACCTTGAATTACCTACATGGCTTGATAACTCTCTGCTATCTCAGAAATCTCTGTTATCGTTTCATTACCAGCAGACAAGATACGACAAGCCCACTCAGTGCACCCCTCTATCGTCAAACCCAAGACACGTCGAACAAACCTCCACCAAAACTCGTTTGTCCATAGAATGCCGAAGCTGATATCGCTGATGATGAAATAACCCCTTAAAGTTCGGGAGAAGAAGAGGATGAAAATAAATAGTGTAGACATATTATTCTCCAAGATTCCGTGAGGATGAAGCATCGGACTAACATTTTATAGTCGATTCATGAACCATATCATATGATAATTTTCAAATTGTGGAGCAATAGGTATATAGTATAGAACTCGAGGTAGACCTAGATCCAAACGAGAAATTGAGTGTCAGTAAATATATATATATAAATATCTATATGCACTGAAAAAAATATTGTGTAAACATCATGATATGTTGGACACCGGCACTCTTTCGACTCTCGTCGCTCAACAGACTTTAAGTAGTAGCAGCTCATGATTTTTTGATATTTGATTTCAAATTTGTGAGCGACGTATTCGACAGTTCAAAGGTTTGTGAGTCAAACGTGTATCCAAAAGGAAAGTTATATATGGCAGCTCAGAGGCTTGGTTCACAATCAGGTCTGCAAATACGAGGTCGAACGACACGACAACGTACTTGACTCCAGAGGATTGCTAGCCAAACATCTCTCCAATCAATTTTAGCCTCAACTTCACCTTGATAGTATACTCAATCATAAATCACAACAATTCATTCCACAAATTCATATCAACCTAACCATGATAGATGAAATTCCTTCAGCCAAAAAGTCCAGGTTATCAAAAACCAGAAAGCTCAAACTGAAACGTTTTCCTTTTCAATTTTTGTTATTATTATCATTTGAGTTTATATGATTCCAGTCACGACCCTGCGGCCTCCGACGTCACGCAGAGTCGTGCTGGATAAAATCCAGTGACTACTCCTCACAGCCTGTGAGGTGAGTAATCACTGGGACCAATTACCGTGTGCCCTGAGTAGACGCAATGATCCAAGTGTGACGGCCTTCTGCATCATTATTATTATTACTGTTATTATTATTATTATTATTATTATTATTATTATTCTGAATTCCAACAGTTGAATTCTTATCGTTTGTACATCAAAATGCCTATCTGGAATTTTCCTGTTTACTGTCTTGATATACAATTATTTTTAAATTTTTCGATTGTGTATCAAACTTTCCTTAATGCTATAAATACAAACTACATACAATACCTCGGTATAACACTTTCTATATTTGCAGCATACATGGCCAAACACCTTAACCGTCATATTTATTCAGTATGTTTTTTTTTTTTTGGCATGATATAATATCAAGCGTCGATGCAGTCATCACATTTAACACCGATTGTCAATACCAGCCAAAAATCTTAGTTGATAGCGCATAAACATATTGTAACAACTCATCATCATACCACCCTGTATATTTTCCGCTCTGACTGTGGAACCCTTTTTTGCTCAACACACCTTGCCATACGGCCCAGGTGTAAACCCACCTTGTCATACGGCCCAGGTGTAAACCCACCTTGCCATACGGCCCAGGTGTAAACCCACCTTGCCATACGGCCCAGGTGTAAACCCACCTTGCCATACGGCCCAGGTGTAAACCCACCTTGCCATACGGCCCAGGTGTAAACCCACCTTGCCATACGGCCCAGGTGTAAACCCACTTCTTATATGGTATTCGCACAACGATAACGCCAACATTCTTCATAATAATATCAGAAGTATCAATAAAAATCATGATGAATTCAAAATATTTTTGATTAATTTGGCAACTGATCTGGACTGTATTATTCTTACTGAAACATGGGAGATCCCTGATCCAAAAATGTACGATATAAAAGGTTACAACATTATATATAATATGGGCAAATTGAATCAAAATGATGGAGTTGTAGCTTACGTGAGATCTGACTTATTCTTTGAATTCGATATTGTTAAAATTTCAGATTCGTCCCATCTATCCGTCAATTTTGATGAACCTTGGAAATCTTTGACAGTCTCATGTATATTGAAAATCACCAGAAATCTCTCATTTGTTGATGAATCATGCAAATCTCACGTAAATATTGCAAATTTTGAGGATCATTACAAATCTCCTCCAAACTTCTTCAAATCTCACAATATCCAATCTACTGTTCACCTTTTGTTGAAATGAAACACAACTCGGGCACGAATGAATCATGAACAACGAACATTACCTGCATTCTCGAATATCCAGAGATATTCATTCAAAAATCATGTTACATACATCATAACTATCATCACAAACTGAAATTGCAAATTCATCGAACGAAATTCCAAAATATATATCGTGTAATCGCCAGTACAATCGAAAACGGTAACAACAAACGTTCAGTACATTCCAATACCAATAAGCATCTGATATTTGATCGGAATGTCAACGTTATCAGAGTTTTCGAGACAAACAAGTAGCAAAAAAAAAAATACTGGATTTCAGGATCGAACACGAAATTCTCTATTACTGGACCTTCGTACTGTTGGTACATTGGTATTGCTTATTTTAAAGAAGTCATGTACTTACAGTTCAATAAAACATCACATAACGGCATAACGCCGGGAATGCATCACGCATAAATACCTAAATACCTCAACCACAGCTATCTGTTTCGCAGTGAAAATCGCCGGAAAAATAATTGCATTTTGTCACTTCACCGGGGCATGAATTCAACCACTTCTGATGTTATATTATGATCACAATTTAATAAACACGAGCACAAATGACATGGACAAGGGTTACACTTGATCACAACCCGGCTTCCATCAGCCGAATACTATATGAACCAGTATTTACACACGTCTGTCATAGGCTCTGATCTAAGCACATTCCACTGAGCAGTGGCGCATCTAGTTGCTAGATGCTAACAGTTTCCAAAATTTTTTTCGGGATCAGATTTCAGGACATATTTGTGTACCATCACATTTGTGTGCTCCGGAAGCGTACCGCTACGGATCAATGAACATTCCAGTGTGTCAAAACTGTCCTCCATTCCAAAAATTTTGAATTGCAAAAGATCAAGATGAAATTCACGATTTGTTGGATCAGATAGGATTAGATCTGGAAATCGATTCCGATAAAGATGACCAGTGGGAGTTGAATCGTTACCACCGATACAACAAGGCGAGCAGACTCTGACGTAAACAGCTCGTGACGTCGCCAAGTGAGGCCAGTGTTTTATTTTATCGCTTGTCGACTAACGCGTCATTTCGTGTTAATTCATCAGTGATTCACGTATGTTTTTGAAACGGTCCCGAATTCTTTTGTTGTTTATTCATCAAAATAATTGGCGGAAAAATTACTGTTTTGTGAAATATTTTGTGTTGTGATCGGCGAAATAACAATGCCTTTCAAATGTTGTGTTCCCTTTTGTCGGGGGAATTATGTGGGTGGTTCAAAAGTTCATGCTTTTAGTTTCCCGTTGGACGAAGAGCTATCGAAAATGTGGGTAAGTATATGCAATTCACCGCGAGGATTTTACTCCATCTAAGTATCTAAGTTCAGTAGTAAACAGAGCTTAATTTATAATGATGAATTAATAATAGAAGACAATTACTCTCTCATGAAAAGTATAAGTAGAGGAAAAATAGAAAAGCTTTGATTGTGCAGTTAGTTTTGTATTCGTATGTTATAGTCAAGAAAATCATCTCTGAATTCGAGGAAATTTTCTTGAATGTTCATAATAAACGGGCATTTTTAATTCTCATTCTCAAATTTTTTTCTGAAAACGGTCATTTGCCTCGTGGCAATGAATGCAGAATTCATTCCAATGATCAAATTGCAACTATCATATTAACATGAACTACAAACACTCTACTCAAAAAAGGTAAAACTGCATTTATCATGATATTCATCATGAAGATATTTGTCTGAAAAGTTTCAAATTTCACCTTCTTTTTCACCTGTCTTCTGGATGGCATTTAGAACAAATTTCCCTTCTTTTTTCATCATATTGGACAATTTATATATAATTCAACTATAAATATGATTTTTTTCTAGATTAATCCATATTTAGTGAAAAGAAGGAAGAATATCATTCAAAATAATGGCGTGTGTAATGTCATTCGAAAGCAATCTATTGACATTTGACATCTCGTATTTTGATTGACTATTGATTAAATGGTCGTCATCTGGAATGCTTGTTCACTAAATATGAAAAACTCATATTTCCTGTTGAATTTTCTATATAAAAATGTGCCATCGAAGTACATCATGAGTATATAAAGTGTCCAATGACAAAATAAGAGCAAGTAGCTTCAAATGCCCCCAACACAAGGGGAGAAAGAAGGCGAAATTTCGAACTTTTTCTTGAAATATCTCAATAAATAGTGGTTTGTTCACATTTTCATTATAAAATTCGGTTTATCAGACAAAAATACGTGAGTACCGAAAAAAATTTTCAAAAAAAAACCATCGCATGATAAATGCACTTTTACCCTATGCAATTTACTATTTTTGAAATCAAGTTATCTCAGATAAGTTATGTACATATTTTGAATTTTTTTTTCTCAAAATGGCAGGATGCACTTAACCTTACCAGATTATGATAATGATAATGAATAGTTTCGACACAAAAAAATCCTAAAGTCGAAAAATCTCGTAATAGGAATTCTCCAAGATAAATATAGGTAATTGTAACAAACGGCATGTCAATCAAAATAAAATACATTTTCCACAATTTTCTTTCGATCAATCTCACGATAAGTTTATGTTCTGCGGGCCCTGTATAAGTAGGTGTGAAGTTCACCTTCACCACAATTTTTGCCAATATATTTAATTCGAATGGGTTGCTGTAGGTGGATATTTGTGTTTTATCCTGGTTTTTGCTTTAAAACTTCGTTTTTCCATAATAAAATCGAATGGGGTGCGAAGAAGGGCTCAGTTGACGACTGGCATCCTTTTTTAACCGGAAGCCCTTCAAAAAACAGCATAATCGGCTCAATGATGATCTAAAACTAAAATCGAAATACGCGGTCGCCTTATAGCGCTATAAGCGCTTGTCGTTTCGAGCCGCTGGTTAGGCCTGACTAAGTGACGTCACCCACGGAGCATGCAGGCCTTGTTGTATCGGTGGTAACGGTTGAATGCACATGAACAGGTAGATGTGCCAGAGGAATATTTGTTGAGTGAGTGGATGAAAATGCCAATGAACCAACCGTTCTTTTTGCCAATAGAAAAGCTTCTATTTCAATAAATGACAAAACGATATGATGAAATTGACCACTGGCCTGTCAGTGATTCTCTGAAATCACCACGGACTTGCTGACTGGAAAGTTGCGGTTGCCGTTCAAGGACGAGATGTCAAAAATGCCTGTGCTTGAACAATGAAAGTAATTGTTTCGTCACTTTTCATAACAAACCATAAACAATGAATGCATATTTTTTCATGATTAGCGTTTTCTTCATTCTGAGTTGAAATCCCATGTCACTCCCAAATAACACGATTGTGATGGTTCTAAAAATAATATTACATCATCCTGAAAAAATTCGAAAAAAATTGAGGAAGTTTCTAAGGTTATTCTGAGTCACACCTGCTAGAGACATTCCGGCTATACTTTTCAAATTATTCTCGGGAGTGTAAGGGATACCGAACAGGATCGATATTTTTCACTTTTGCATATGATGAATCTCTCATCTATTTGTCAATAGATATTTTGCACAGCCTACTACACAAATCCAAAATTTCAAGCAGTTATTAGGTAAAAGGTACTACGGGTCACCAAAACAAACAAAAAACGAAACAAACTCACCCAAGGTTCCACCTTATCGGCCTTGCCGGTATTCTTCGCGTCCAGCGCCTGCTGCCTCAAAGCCAACAAATTCTTCAAGCGCTTATTGACCGCCTCTGCTTGCTCCACTCGTGCCTTGAACACCACCTGTTGCTTGTCGTGCATCACCTTCATCTTCACCAGCTCGTTATCCTTCTTTCTGTCCTGCTGCTTCAGCCGCTGACATTCGCGCTCCTTTTGCATCTTCCACTGCCGGAATTTCTCCGACTCGTCGCGCATCGTGCGCACCAACTTCACCTTCGTCTGTTTCATTTGCAAGATGTCTTGGTTCAGTTTGGTGATGCGCAGCTCGTCGTTCGCCTTCAGTTTTATGAGGCGAGCGAGCTCTTGGACCTGTTTGTTCAAGAAACAAATTGGAAAACTGCAACTTGTCTACACTCATTTTTAGGGAAAGAAAGGATCCCCCACTAAACTATAGGGAAAATGGCTCTCGATGAAAATCGCTAAATTTTTAGTATGCTGCAGACTTTGATATACTGAACAGATCTTCCATTGAACTAACCTCAAAAAATGGACAGTTTTTTCGATGTTCTTTGAACATTATAGGGATTCCCTTTCGTGCGCTCCAATCGATAAAAAAAAAAAATATTGACCTCCAAATGTCATTTTTTTCGAGAAAAAAAAGTATCTGGAAATGGTTGAATTTTTGGCATGTTGTAGATAGGAATGAACTGATGAAAAAATCCGATTGACCTAACCTCCAAAAATTGTCAGTTTTTTCGATATCGACCTCCAATGCAATTTTTTCAAGAAAAAAAAAATCTGAAAATGACTGAATTTCTGGGATGTTGTAGATAGGAATGAACTGATGAAAAAATCCAACTGACCTAACCTCAAAAAATTGACAGTTTTTGTTCACTGTCGCAAACAGTTTTCTCTTCAGATCTCTACATATTGTAAATAATAATTATTGAAATATATTTGGTATTATTTTAGATAATGAATAAGTCTATCAAAAACTTTCATCATCGATGGAATGGTCAAAATAAGATAGATATATGGCATATAAATTCGACTACTGTGTATACCTACAACCCCATCGATGTCGGAAAGACTATAACCATATTTCAAATAATATTTATTTCATTACATCCTCTCTTCGGTTTTCTGCACCTGTGGATGTATCATATGAAGAAGTTTTGTACTATAAGAATGAAATGCCAAATACTAATTCGAAAACAGCAACTTTGTCTATTGATTATTGTTCCATTCATCTTATTTTCCATACGTTCACTTGGAGGTCAATATCGAGAAACTGTCAAGTTTCTGAGGTTAGGGCAATTGGATTTTTTGATCAGTTTATTTCTATCTACAACATACCAGAAATTCAGTCATTTTCAGAGATTTTTTTACTCGAAAAAATTACATATTTGAAGGTCTATATCGAGAAAACTGTCAATTTTTGGAGGTTAGGTCAATTGGATTTCTTCATCAGTTCATTCCTATCTACAACATGCCAGAAATTCAACCTTTTTCAGATACTTTTTTTTTCTCGAAAAAATGACATTTGGAGGTCTATATCGGAAAAACTGTCCATTTTTTGAGGTTAGTTCAATGGAAGATCTGTTCAGTATATCAAAGTCTGCAACATACCAAAAAATTCATCGATTTTCATCGAGAGCCACTTTCCCTATAGTTTAGTGCGGGGTCCTTTCCCGCACGTATATTAGGCGCTAAAAACAACAGATTCCACTATACTGCCCATAATCACCAATTACCACACAAGTGTGGGAAGCAACCAATTACCACACTAGTGCGGAAATTGGCCAATTACCAAACTAGTGCGGAAAGAGACCCATTACCACACTAGTGCGCGTTGTGATCAATCACCACACTAGTGCGGGAAGTGACCAATTTCCACACTAGTGTGATAAGTGACAAATTCCACAATATTATGATAAAAGACCAATTCATACACTAATACTGGAAGTGACAAATTAGCACGCCAGTGCCAGAATGGGCGAATGGATTTAAAATGAATCATTGACATTCAGTTACTCCACTTAGTCGTTTATGAGTGTATACGTTGTTCTGTAGACACGGTCCTATATGCACTGGCTGGTCTTAGGGCCATCCTCCTCCTGTGTGTTTGCAAGTCTGATAGGGTTTCTCTTGATTTTTAACGTGTGAATCCATACTGGTGCTGCATACAGTAACTTGGAGTGTACTACTGCCGCATATACTCTCCGTTGTTCTGGTTTAGGACGTCCAATATTTGGCATTAGTGAAGCTTAACCTCTGGTCTAAAGTGACTCCAAGATACTTCACCGCTTTAGAGACTTGTATCTTATTATTTCTCAACTCGAAAGTTGGCATAGTCATAGTCGGCCTTCTATTTCTGCAGAGCATAACTGCTTCTGTTTTTTCCACTAATGTGGAAGTGACCAATAATCTTTCATGCGCACCAGAAAATGGAGAGAAAAATTAAGAATTCTCGCATTACGGTTGGTAATGATCAATTCCTACACACTAATTTTCATACTGAAGGGGGAGTGACCAATCCGTACACCAGTGCAAGTATTGACTAATCCTCACACTAGTGCAAAAATTGACCAATTGTCACTAGTGACACTAATTGGGAAGTCACACTGGGGCGGGAATAACCAATTCATACACCAGTGCAGATAGTGAACAATCCCAAACTAGTACGGGAAGTAAGTATATTCTACACTAATGCAATTCGACCTATTACCACACTAATGTGGCAAGTGACCAATTAATACACTAGTACAAAGAGTGACTATTTCTCACACAAGTGCGGACAATGATAAACTCTTAGACCCCTGGAGATTTTTTGTATTTTTTTTTTAGAAAAAATATCAACACTGACAGATATAATTGAGCTAAAGAAAAGATTGGAGTTATTTTGCAACTAAACTAAAGTTGGTGCTGATATCTCAAAATCTAGAAGAGTTGGTATAAATTCCTTATTTTTTTCGAAATTACTTTGAAAAACTGCCATGAGAATGTGAAATTCCTATTTGAATATTTTCATAAATTAAGAAGTTACGGAGGAGACATGAAAATGATCAAAATCTGTTTTTTACGTATAAAACAAAAACGAATAGATTTTATCAAAATATTTTTTCACATTATAGTTGGCCTTGACAAACTACACATTTGGTGTCATTTAACCGACCTCGTATCTCTCACCGTTAAAAAGATACCCATGGTGAGCATGGTAAGTGGGACACACTGTACATATACAGACGACTTCAACAAGATTAGAAAGAAGTAATCTCACCTTCTTCTTGAACTCAGTCAATTGTGATTCTAATTCTTGCACTCTCTTCCTGTATTGTTCAGATTTTTTTCCTGATACGCCGATTGTTTTCAGCTGACGCAATAATTCTTCCTTCTCTTTTTCTAAATTGGCAATTTTGGCTTCATGATCGGTCAATGCCTGAAATAAATAATACATTAACAAATCTTTCTTTATATCGACAGCTATTTCAATGGTATTTTTATTTACCTGATAGTCGACGATGTACTGATTATTGGTGCTCAGCTGTTTAGCGAGGCTCTCTTTCAGTACCAGTTGTTTTTGTATGTCTGACAGCTGTTGGTTCAGATTCATTTGACGCGTCGTGTGGGTTTCATGTTTATCTTCGATTTCTTTCGAGGATTCGCCGACATTATTGGACACGCTACTGATCAAGGGCTTGTTGAAGAAATTCTCATGATCTCTATAAATCAATAATGAAAATTGACAATTGAAAAAAATACAAATATTATTATGTGGGTAGTTTCCTGAATGATTTGCCATACGAAGCAGCAAAGCAGTAACCTTTAAAGGTTTTGAATTTGAAATATTGTCAAGAAGTACAAATGCCTATGAATCAACATCACTCAAACTCTTGTTTATTTCAAGATTTTTTATCATAAATTAACTTTTCCAAATTAAAACATCCAGTACAATTGTAGTTTCGATCAGGTCAGAGAAGTTCATTGACGTCAGTTCCTTTAAAATTTGCAAAAAACCGCTTACCGTGCGATACAATACAATACAATACAATAAGTTTGTTTTCCATTAGCCATTTTTACATGTATAGGAATCGTCAGATTGAAGGCTTAAAACTAGACAGTTTGAGACTGAGACATACGATAAAATGATAATAGTTCGATATTATAGAGACAGAAACAAAACGACTAGGCTACCGAAAAATATTCTTCTTAAGTATAGGGATTCATTTCCAGTAGGAATTACTTCAAGTTCGTTTTGAAATGATTGAGTTTTTTGAAGTTTTTCAATCGACTGGGAAGTTTATTGAAAACTTTGAGTCCAAAGTAATTGGGAGAGTTGCGTGTAATCTCATATTTACACATTGGAATATGATAATTGTCACATTGTCTTGTACTTATACCATGTATATTCCTATTAGTAATGAATTTTTACAAAAACACCAATGACAGTTAAAATGCTAAGGCTATTAAAAATATTTCGGCAAGATTGTTGACTAGGTATGCCTGCTATTATTCTTATAATCCTTTTCTGTACAATTAAAACATCCGGTGGTAGAGTGTTACCCCAAAAATTTATACCATAGCGGATTCGAGAGGAAACTTGAGCATGATAGAGCAACAACAACTGTTCTTTTGTTAGTATTGTTTTTAGACTCCGAAACATATAACAGAGAGAATTTAGTTTCTTTATCAATTTGTTACAGTGGTGTTTCCATGTTAAACATTCATCTATGCCGATTCCTAGGAATGTTAACTCATCAACATTTCCCAGCAGATCACCATGCACAGATATATCTATATTTGAACAACGTTTTTGCCGATGATGAAATCTTATTACGTTAGTTTTTTCTACATTAAAGAGGAGTGAATTAACACTACACCAAGAGATCACTGTTTCCATAACGTTGTGGCAGTGTTCCGATAGATTATCGTCATTTTTGTCTGATATGAGTATAGCAGTATCATCAGCATAAATTACATAATGCGAATTATTGGTGAGACTATCCAGTTCGTTGATATAGCATAAAAACAAAATAGGTCCCAAAACAGATCCCTGAGGAACTCCTACACCAACAGCTTGGTAGTCAGAATTTACTCTACGGTAAGAAGTATCTTCTTTAAAGTTTATTGATACATATTGTCGTCTGTTCTTAACGAAAGATGTGATCCATTCTAAAGCTACTCCTCGTATTCCATACGTATACAATTTGGAAAACAGGATGTTGTGTTGAACTTAGTCAAATGCCTTGCTGAGATCGCAGAAGATCCCAACAGGACATTCTCCTGCTTCGATTGATTCAATAACTTTCTCATAGAATGATAAAGTAGCGCTATTAATAGATTTATTTGTAAGAAATCCATGTTCACTCTCTGAAAATAACTTATTAATTTCAAAAAAAATCAAGAACCGTTCAATGAAGGAATATTCAAAGACTTTTGAGAAACACGAGGGTATAGTGATTGGTCGATAGTTTGTCATTAGTGAAGCATTCGACTTTTTGTGAATGGGGATGACTTTTCCCGTCTTTAATAATACCTAGGTAAGCAATATCGGAAGGTAACGGCCATTCCCATTGCGGAAAATTGCGAACCTAGCATCGATTCCGAATATAAATAGTACCCGAGTCGATGAGGCATTATTATAATCAATACAAGTCATTAGTAATTATCAATTGAAAATGTTCGCCGTCTTCCTGACTTCAATCCTGCTGGTCAACCCTGTCCCTGTATATACAAATCATGAAAATCATCCATTTTCTCAAAGTGGTCCACAGTATTTTCAAGAAAAAAAAAAAAAACTAGAGGCTCAAAGTCGGTCGACCACACTTCAAATGAATCAATCAATGTGGTCGACCGACTTTGAGCCTCTAGTTTTTTTTTTTTCTTCTTGAAAATCCCTGTATATACCTTAGACAAGAGTCCGGACACAGCTATACTTCTGTCCACTGTTGTTTTCGAAAAATGCATTGATGATTGCATAAAGGAATAAGACATATATATCGAGCTCTGTCTTTTCAATTCCCCTAGTATCAATGTTTTGAGGGTTAGACTGGTCAAACTGTTCATATAGCCGTATAGTCTAAGATCCGAACCTAAATCGACCTTCACCGAGCTGATAATAGAACGAAATATATTTTATCATGAATTTAGTATATTAGAAAACATATTAAAAATGGGTTGGCTAAAAAAATCCTGGGCAGACTATTTTTAATTATTTTTCGAAAAATTATTTTTAATTAAATGTTGCAACATCAGGATAATAAAAAAATTGTGTCCTGACTGAAAGTATAAAACGTATAGAATGTGTAGCCGTTGGGTTGTCTACTATTTACCTGGGCGAACTACTGGGTTGTCAGGTAAACACAGGTATATCGATGCCAGTTACTTTCACTGGATTGGATAATTAAAAAAAATTTATATTATCATAAGCGCTGTTTAATTGCGAACACGTTGATATAGGGTTGTCTGCGAAAATTCCGGTCCTATTAGGGGTTTGCGAATTTAAAAGATTTTAATTTCAACGCGCGTGGAAGTGTGTGACAGAGAGATCCGAGGTAAGTATACTGTGTAATAATAAAGGACCCAACATCGCAGTCGCTTGTGATGGGACCCTGAATAGTAGAAAGTGTGCGAAGTCAAATCCTGAAAACTATGGTTGGCATTTTGATGATTTCTTAAAACCAACAGGTTTTATCGGAGATCAAACTCCTTTGAAAATCCAGGACATTGTCGAAATGGAAGCAAATGAGGAAGAATCTAATGAATCAGACGAATTCGAGAGTCAAAATGATACTTCTGATGAATCAGATATTGAATAGAAAATATTTATTAGAATTTATTTTTCATTAATATTATTTTTGTATTTATACTGTTTTTTAATAAAATTTTAAATCGTAATACAAGATGTCTAGTCTATCTTTTTTGTTATTTCTTAATTTAAATTTTTGGCGGTCCACTTTGTTTCTATTTCCAGAAAGAGCAAAAAAATTGCAAAGTAAGTATTTGATATTTTTATTGTCTATTATAGATTATAGATATATCATTATGGTTATAACGCAATATATTGATATTATATTGTTTTTATATATTAGTATTATATTAAATATATTTAATTATTATGTAATTAATTAATTATTTTTTTTGCTACTGAAATATCAGTTGCTCCAAAATAACACGCACTGTTTACTATATGAAGGGTAGTAGAGGTACCTCTACCCTCCATAGTTTACACACCGAGCATGCGCACTTTCTACTATTCAGGGTCCCATCACAAGCGACTGCGATGTTGGGTCCTTTATTATTACACAGTATACTTACCTCGGATCTCTCTGTCACACACTTCACGCGCGTTGAAATTAAAATCTTTAAAATTCGCAAACCCCTAATTGGACCGGAATTTTCGCAGACAACCCTATATCAATGTGTTCGCAATTAAACATCGATATACCTGTGTTTACCTGACAACCCAGTAGTTCGCCCAGGTAAATAGTAGACAACCCAACGGCTGCACATTCTATACGTTTTATACTTTCAGTCAGGACACAATTTTTTTATTATCCTGATGTTGCAACATTTGATTAAAAATAATTTTTCGAAAAATAATTAAAAATAGTCTGCCCAGGATTTTTTTAGCCAACCCATTTTTAATATGTTTTCTAATATACTAAATTCATGATAAAATATATTTCGTTCTATTATCAGCTCGGTGAAGGTCGATTTAGGTTCGGATCTTCTACTAGTAGGTAGAAGTGAGAAATAGGGCTATTTTAACTAGAATAACTATTAGATTTTCAAATAATGAACAACAGGGTGTTTAAATTTCGAATGGATAATTTTCATAATCAATTCCTGAGATGGCTATTGCAAATTTTCATCATCAGATATTTCTCCACTTCATTAGAAATGAGAAAGATAATTTGAGTGTTCTACGTGGTACCACATATAGCCAAGAAAATATAGTTGTTTTCTGTTGGAATATAACAAAATAGAAGATATATAATTGTTTCAATATAATTTTCACTCAGCAGAAATAAAAGTGGAAAAATCAAAACAACAATATATATACCTATATGCGTCGATAGTGTTGTGATTGTAGGAAATGGAAATTTTAATTTTAACAGGTGTTCATATCCAGTGGTACCACATTCGATCTGAATTAAAAACACCGTGGACTGGCAACATAGCACATTACAATTTCTCTAAATCTTCTAGTTTTGATTTCAAACTTTCAATTTCTTTCCGCATCATCTCATTCTCATTTTCTTTCTCTGCGATCGTATCATTCAGTAATTCCCAATACGATGACGACGGAACTCTTTTTTTGAACGTATTTTATAAATTGACGGCACACTCTTTCAATTTGAAATCCATCAGCTTGAAAGAATCTCTATCAAAATGGGTCTAAAATTCATCTTTTTTGTACTGTTTTCACAAGTAAATTTAATATTCAACTCACATATTGCGGATTTCTTGAAATTAATTTTCCATTCTGGACGTTTCATTGCATTCTTCCATGACATTATCTTTGAAGGATCATTCGAAGAATTGAACAACTTTCATCCCTTTTCTAATGAATTATCGCAATAATATACGCAGCAGGACATTGAAATAATTTAAAATGCTAAATTCTGGCGGTCATAAAATTTTAAAGTGACAGTGACAGAAATTCGAAATAATTAAAAAAAGCGGACAGGACGACTATGGTGTTTCGTCACATTGTCAGGTGGGCAAACCAAATAAAACAAAATATTAAAAACCCCAACGGCTGTCAGTTTTGTGTCCGGACTCTTGTCTGAGGTATATATAGGGACTCTAGTCAACCCCATGCTAGACGTTGTAATGTAAGTACTGTTTTTTTGTAAGTGTTGTTTTGCGTTTGTGTTTCATTTGGCAAGCACTCATGTTCTTTTTTCTTTGCTACCCTACCATGTGGCAAGCATTTATCCACGAATTTTTCCTTTTAATCAATAAATGTCAAATTTTAGACGAAAACTGTATTGACTCTTTATTTGGGGATGAATGTGGTTGGGTGATGAAAAGATCAAAACCTCTCGTCGTCTCGAGTAGCTAAGTTACGACCTATAGGAGGGTCAACATCTGAGTTGCGACAATATTCCAGAAAATCTAGGAATAAAATTATTCTTCGTCTCCTTACGGCTCAAAGATGCATTTTCGTATAGAGGCCAAGTTGTTTTCAATCGGCCTATTTTGGTATCCAGTTCACCCTGTAGAAGTTATGGTATGTTTTGTTCTGGGGGTTGTCGGCTGAATGGGAGAAAAAATCGAGTTGACTGTAGCATCACAGGCAACTTGATTTAGTCGACAATGTTCTGGGACATCCTGTATGAAAATTAGGACTGAACCACAACCGCGATTTCAGCGGCGTTACCATTTTATTTTCTGGGGTGAGAAATAAAAAAAAAACCTGACTGTAGGTTGATCGAGGAGGCTTTTTTAGTAGATTATTTGTGATTTTCTCTCCTCGTCAGATGATTTGCCCCAAAATGTCACTGAGTTTAACGAATTTTTTCATCAGGGAGCCTAAAAGAAAAATCCAATAGCTTGTCAGTGACACTTTGAGGAAAAAAGTTCGGGGAGAATTTTTATTTCCTGGAAACAGAAAATCCCAAATAATCAAGTAAAATAAGTACAAAAAAATTCCTTCATCTTGTAATTTCATCAACACTATTTAAAGAAATAATGTGCAACTTCTAGGGGCGTACCTATTTTTCCCTTAGGGTTTCGCCTAATGTTGATAGGGAAGCAAAGTTAATATAAAAAATACTGCCATCTCGGAATTTCTTCGGCACCATCAAAAGAAAAAAAAAATGTGGGACTACCTTTAATTTTCTGAGTGTTTTGCCGAAATTTAGACAATCAAAATCACCATATCAGAAGCGCACCCATTTTTTTTTCTAACGAAAGTAAATATAAAAAATGCAGAAATATTCAAATTTCTTCAGCACATGTAAACAAATTAAAGCTACTCAGAGGCGTGATATTTCATTTTCTGAGGATGTCAGAAATTACTGCTGAAAACTTGAAACTTCCTCAGCGCCAACAGGGCGTACCCAATCTTTTTCTGAAAGGATAATTCATATCGGAATTTCTAAGAAAAAAAACGACAATGTTCGATTTGTAATAAATATGGCGACCACCATAACAGCTAACAGAAATTGCAACTTTAGGGGCGTACGCATAATTTTTTTAGAGGGATCTTAGCAGAGCACGGGAAAACAGGCCTCATAACCTCACCTGATTTCTACTTCAGTCTTTTTTCTCTCATTGTCTATGTCAACAAACTGGCTTTGAATCAGCTGGAGTTTCTCCAAATTTTCTTTGACACTGACAGCATCGTTTTTCTCCAAGGCCATGCTGATGTTGCTGAAAGTGACGTCATACTGATCTTTCAGCTCGCCAATTTTCTGGCTCAACAAGTCATTGGCGTTCTGTAGGATCGTTATTTTTTCGTGAAGACCCGTATTTTCCAACAACACAGCCGATAGTTGAACCGTTAATTCTCTTATTTTCAGTTTGCACTCGAGGATTTCTTTTTTCAGTAATTCTATTTCTGCCGGACAAACCATAGGACCTCCTGGAAATTCATTGAAATTACTTCTAATAGTTCTAATTATTCTGAATTATCAACTTCGTAAGTCTTCATATCTCTCAAAATTTGTGTTTTGATTTATCTCAACATTCAGTAAATTGACATTTTTAGATCAATTAAAATGAGATGATTCCAAAAAGGTAAAATACTTGAGGTCACAAAATACAGGATGTTACATTGAAAAAAAGTGCCGATGCGGTCATCACCTAAATTGAAAATCGTTCAGAAAATATCAAATTTATTCTATACTTTACGGACACAGTGTATGTAATTTGACAATAATTGAGCCAAAAATTAAAATTCAACTGAATGAATTGAAAACTCTACAAAATGATGCAAATTTCATTTTTAAACGTCAACCGAAGCATAAAAAAACTTCCATTTTAAACGAAATGTTTTTTTGTTTCTTAATCCAACAATACATCACAACTTGATATTCAATTATCTTTATTGGGATAAAATGTAAATGAAATTTCATTAGTTGAAACTAATATCAAAAGTATCAAGCCATAAAAATAGTGTACTTATTTCTTATAAACTATATAGTTTTTTTTTGTTACATAATAATTATAAAAAGTACTACAATATGAGTCCGTGATAATTTTGATGGAATTGTTGTCACAACATTTTTTCAAAAAAAGCGTGGGACATTTTAACAATGTGGATTTTGTCTACTGATTCCCCCATTAATTAACAGATTTTATTTCTACAATTCCACTTAAACCCTCACAATTTGTTTGAACTCCCACAATTCCACCTGAATTCTCACCATTCTCCTATAATTGCCATTGAATACCGAAGATCAAATTTTATTAAATACTGTATTTGCTTGTGCGTCTTTATATAACCCAACCTTGAACTGTTCAAATACCCCTTTTTATTCTTGTGCACATTATAATCTAACACTCAATTCATTGAATCTGCAATCTATCGATCTGTCAAATGTTCCTCAAACCTAGATATGATACGCCTTCTAGTTTGGCCCAAAAACAGTCAAGTTATCTAATATCATTTAGACATATGTAGGTAATGTAGGCCAATCTAGAAGATCTATCGAAACTAGATTCAAGGAACATGTTTCTCGGTTGATTCTTTCGCTATTTTTGCGACATGAAAAATAACACATTTGTGTCTTACCTTGACCCAATATTTGCAGCCTGATTTGCATGTGACGTTATTTGTATAACCTAACCTTGAACTGTTCAAATACCCGTTTTCATTCTTGTCCACATCATAATCTAACACTTGATTAATTGAATCTGCTATCTATCGATCTGTCAAATGTTCCTCAAACCTAGATACGATGCGCCTTCTAGTATGGCCCACATACAACCAGGTTATCTCTTATTATTCAGACATATGTAGGTAATGTAGGCCAAACTAGAAGATCTATCAAAACTAGATTCAAGGAACATGTTTCTCGGTTGATTCTTTTGGTGATTTTAGCGACATGAAAAATAACACATTTGTGTCTTACCTTGACCCAATATTTGCAGCCTGATTTGCTTGTGACGTTATTTGTATAACCTAACCTTGAACTGTTCAAATACCCGTTTTCATTCTTGTCCACATCATAATCTAACATTTGATTCATTGAATCTGCTATCTATCGATCTGCTAACTGTTCCTCAAACCTAGATATGATGCGCCTTCTAGTTTGGCCCACATACAACCAGGTTATCTCTTATTATTCAGACATATGTAGGTAATGTAGGCCAAACTAGAAGATCAATCAAAACTAGATTCAAGGAACATGTTTCTCGGTTGATTCTTTTGGTAATTTTAGCGACATGAAAAATAACACATTTGTGTCTTACCTTGACCCAATATTTGCAGCCTGATTTGCATGTGACGTTATTTGTATAACCTAACCTTGAACTGTTCAAATACCCGTTTTCATTCTTGTCCACATCATAATCTAACACTCGATTCATTGAATCTGCTATCTATCGATCTGCTAAATGTTCCTCAAACCTAGATACGATACGCCTTCTAGTTTGGCCCACATACAACCAGGTTATCTCTTATTATTCAGACATATGTAGGTAATGTAGGCCAAACTAGAAGATCTATCAAAACTAGATTCAAGGAACATATTTCTCGGTTGATTCTTTCGATATTTCAACACATTTGTGACTTACCTTGACCCAATATTTGCAGTCTGAGCTGCCTTATCGTCTGTTTGAGTTCATTAATCTCTGCCACTTTGGCGTCTTGATTGACGATGGGTTTGTTTCTGATCTTTCTTGCCCTATCAGCGTACCTCAAGGTCGACAACGTTTCGTCTATATTATAATCGGCAGGACTCACACAAGCTATCATCAGTGTTATGCTATTACCGCCCAACGAATCTAAAAATTAACAGGACATGAACGACTTCTAGAGATGATAATAAGAGAAAAATAGTTATTTATTATACAAGGGAAAAAAGTAGTAGATTTTAGCTCCAGGTTGTGTTGTCTCCCGACGCGTAGCGGAGGGAGACAACAAACCGTGAGCTAAAATCTAATATTTTTCCCGTGTATAATACACTATTTTTTTCTGTGACAGAAGAAAGAACGAATCAATATTGAGAAGATATTACATTATTTTGATATCTGAAAATTATCGACGTGAAATTTTAAGTTTTTAACAGTAGGGACACCGCGTTGTAAGCATCTTTATCATTCATTTGAAGTAATCAAATATCTGATGTCACTTCTGTCAGTCTAATTTTGTGATTTTATTTCAAGAAATTGCGAATTCAGTGGTTATTTAGCAATATACGTAACCGCGAAGTCGAATGGAAGATAAAAGGACTTGCAGTTCTTTCTCGGAGACGGTATTATTGACTCATTTTTCGGAACTATAGCACAACAAAAGCCATCAACAGTGTATATATATGTGATATATATCCGGGAAAGAAGTACTCACTTTTTTCCCACGGGAAAAAAGTAATTTATGAAAAGTGACATTTTATAACCTTCCAACAGGGATGAAATGCCAAATTTTTTTCCCGTCACAGAAAAAAATTATTTGTTTGTGAAAGGAGGTTGTCTTATGTATTATAAATATACTTTTTTTTTCTGTAACGAAAAAACCAAGATTTAATATTACAATGTATATTACGGGTGTCCCAGAGCTTTCAAGCCAGAAGATTACTGGGTTATTTAACATTCAAAAAAATCAACAACAAAAAAAGTAGAATGGGCGAGTGGATTGATAATGAATTATTCTCTCACTCTGTGTATGCGTTGTTCAAAATCGTTGAACTTCAGAGCTCATTTCGAATGTAAATGTTGGAGACATGGCAACAATGTGCTGAATGCTGAGAACTGACAAGACCACGCCCACAAGTCGTGCGCGGAGTTGTCACGTTCACCCTTTCGAATGTCCTCTAGTGTGAATCAATATTATTATTGATTAAACAAATTTATTATAAGCAATAAACCACAAATCATACGGGAACATTTTGAGACAATTGAATTTTTATTGCTAATTAGGAAAATTATCAATACTCAATTGAAGAATTAATGAATTATTGAATAATTAAGTTCCTAATCGTATATCAACACTTGGCAACTGTGCTATGGTTTGCCTACTTACGAAATCATGACGTCAGTTTTTACTTGCGGTAAATTTCTATACCTTTTCAACTTCAATTTCGGAATCGGTGAGTTATATTTCGGAAAAAGTAATCTCGATTTCAGAATTGGTTAGTTCGATTTCAGAAATGGTAAACTCAATTTCAGAATCGGTGAGATGAATTTCAGAAAAAGTCCATTCAATTTCAGAAATGGTAAGTTGTATTTCCGAATTGGTAGGTTCAATATCATAAAAAAAATCCTTATATTTGTTCGAAATGTTTCCAATTGCGTGAAGACAAGCACTGAATGGGTTCACCAAAAAGTATTCCACTAAATTGCAATCGTTCAAAACACTCATTTTTCAGAAATTCATAGAGCCCCAAACCATTAACCTAACATAAACATAAACAATGCACTCGCGTTTGTCCGCAATTCGCGAAGCGACACGACAAACACGTGCTATTCGGGCGTATTCGGGCATTTGCATTGCGCGCGTAGGTTGCGCATGTGACGGAGTCTAGCGTCCTATTGATGTTGTCAAGTTGAATATTTTACGCGTGATTTGCAAACTTCAACGTGTGATGCGTGGGCAAGCACTGTTGCCAATTCAAAAATATTTAACTAAAAACAGGAAATAAAATCAAAATCCATGTATTTTGGTGTCCTTTTAATGAGAAAGTATTGATAATATTAGTTTAAGGAAAATCTCTGAGGAGCCGCCACTGGTTATTTGTCATCAAGACAACAGTATGTTGTTATAAATAGCACAGCTTACTACCGCTCAGAAGTTAATATCGGAGTGCCACAGGGATCGGTATTGGGACCTGTACTCTTTATATTATATATTAACGATCTGGATAAATGGCTCACTCACTATATATGCAGATGATACTTCGATCATCATATCCGATAAATGCAATGAAACACTAGCTACCAAATCCAATGAAGCTTTGCAACTAGTGAGTGACTGGACTAGAGCAAATAGACTTTTTCTGAATGTCGATAAAACCAATGCAATCAGATTCCATAATCGTCAAAAAATATGTGATGAAATCATCCTACAAGCCGAAGAGTCATCAAATCCAATTTCCACAGATTCAGCTAATGTGAAATTTTTGAGGCTCTACATCGATGAATGCTTAGACTGGCACAAAAACTGCGAAATATTGAAATCTAAAATGTATTCCTACTCCTATCAATTCAGAAACTTGAAAAATATTCTGAACAGAGAACAACTACTAAATCTTTATTTTTGACAAATTGACAGCCGTCTCCGTTATGGTATATGCTTCTGGGGTCTATCTAGCTCATCACAAGATGTTTTCATTTCTCAGAAACGCGTTATCCGTTCCTTGGTGGGTGTGTCCAACAGAACTTCGTGTCGTGACATTTTCATAGTCCTCAAAATACTCACGGTACCTTCCTTTTTTTATTTTAGAATCATGTCTGTATGTGTTTAATAACAAAGACAATTTTAATACTAATAGTTCTCGCCATGGAGTTGATACTAGACGTAAAGATGATTTTTACATCCCTTTTAGTAAGATGAATGTAACTCGACAGTCGCCTAATATCATGGCACTGAGATTTTATAAGGCTCTACCTGCCGAAATTAAATAATGTAGGACATTAACATCTTTCAAAGTATCCTTGAAACAACTATTACAAACAAAATGTTATTATTCGGTGGAAGAATATCTTTCCCAATAATTTTAATAATAAGCTACATGCGTGTATGTATTGTTGTACCTCTCACTCACATTATCAATTTATCCCTCCAGCAAGGAGTATTTCCTTCTAGGCTGAAGATATCCAATGTCATTCCTCTTCACAAAAAAGGTGATTATTATAGGGCTATTACTTGATGCTATTACTTGATGCAAAAATATCATTAACTTTTTAACATTCAATGGTAACTTGTCTCTATGCCAACATGGTTTGACGAAGAATAGAAACACTGACACTGCACTTTGTGAATTTTTAAATAATATATATAAAGCTCTCGATGATAAACAAGTGGCACTGGGGTTATTTATAGATTTTTCCAAGGCATTTGACTGTGTTCAGCATGATATTCTTCTGTATAAATTGGAGAGATATGGAATTCGTGGAGTTACTCTCCAATGGTTCGCATCGTATCTGACTGATAGACAACAGCAGGTTATTTCTGATTTGAAATCTGTGAATATAGGTGTGCCTCAAGGATCCATTCTTGGTCCAACACTCTTTATTATATATATCAACGATTTAATTGAATCAATGAGATCACACTCTACTCAAGTAGTAGCTTATGCTGATGATACAAACTTTCTGTTCATTTCAGACACTGTTTATAATGCTAAAAAACAGGCCGAACTAGTTTACATGAATGTTTGCAAGTGGGTAGATGTGATTTGTTATTTTCAAATCTTCTGGTTTAGAATATCCTAACCACATAACTCTAAATAATACAGAAATCAACTGCGCTCTAAATACTAAATTGCTTGGTGTTATTTCAGGAAGTAACCTGGAGTGGTATGGACATGTAGATAGTTTGTGTTCGGAGCTAGCTAAAAAATGCTATATGCCCTTTTCATTTCATCACAACAATGTAGCAAAGAAATACTGAAACAATTGTATTTGGGGGGCTTTCACTCAAATTTAAAATATGGAATCATGCATTGGGCGAATTCCGCAGAAGCTCATAGGGCCTTCACCTTACAAAAAAGGGCAGTCCGTATCTTGGGAAATCTGAGAGCAAGAGATTCATGCAGGGAATATTTTAAAAAACTGGGTATCTTCACAATGATTTCCCTTTACATTCATGAAGTAACCTGTTTTGTATATAATCATAAACGTTATTTTGAGACTGAAAAAGTCGAACATGATTACAATACAAGGAACAAAGATTATCTGTTGCCTCCTCAACACTCATCTGCTCGGTATCAGAAAAGTTTATATTACAATGGATGTAAATTATACAATTGCCTGCCAAAATCTATACAAGAATCAAAAAATAAATTCCAATTCAAGAATAAAATGAAAAACTTGCTCCTGAAAAAATCTTATTACACCTTGGATGAATTCTTCTGTGATCCAATCATCGCTGATGTGCATGAGTAATGTTTTTGAGTAGACGTTGATATACTTTTTATGTTTATGTACCTGTGAAATCTTGTATATTATTATGTTTGTTTTATACATACGATATTTATTTATTTATGTACTTTAGCCTAATTTTGACGTTTTTTTTCTTAAACTGTATGTTTTTGAAACAAATAAATCTATCTATCTATCTTCTATCTATCTATCTATGCTATCTCTTATGTGTTAGTTTCCTTTTTGTCTATTTTGTTTATTTTGTATTCTACTTACATGTACCCCTTTGACGACTATTCCTATACAATTTTGTAATTATCAACTGGAAAATTGAATAAATGAAATGAAATGAATCAATGTATCTCAAGATATTGACTTTGTCGACAAAAAAATCTAGTCCACTCGCCTATTTATGGTAGTTACTTTCATTTCAAGAATTAACACTGAGAGTGGAAAAACAATCCGCCGAATATGATTCTGCTGATTACCTTTGAGTAATCTAGTGAGATTACTATCCCGGTATGGGATGAATCCGTTTTGCGTTTTTTCATCTCCCAAACAACTGATTACATTACCCAACACGAATAATCCTTTGTTGATAAGGACACCTTCTTTAAAAGTGCTACCGACTGCACCAGTTTTCTTTGGTCTTTCCGATCCAGCCAGATCGACCAGGTGTAGTTTGGATACCTTATATTCCTTCCTAAAACACAAAAGAATATTCATAGTCCCAAAAATACTGTTTTTTTTTTTTTGGACGAGTAGAAAAAATTCTAGGCCTAGCCGTAGGCGAGTCCTGGAATTCTGCGAGTCTGTGGTCGTACTTATATTGAAAGTACAATTGAGCTCTTTTCTATCTTGAACGAGAGAGAGGACAGTTCTCTCCTCTTCCATCTCTCTCTGCAATGCTACCAACGTGGCCGCATTGAAATATAGAGAGGTCCGATAAATCTTTTCTTGTCTAACATCTACTTTGTGCCGCTGAACTATTTTTCAATTGAGCAGAGTGCCAAATTTAACGATATCAACAAATTATGCCAAAATAGGTATGATGTAATTCAAAATGTCATTTTGAATATTCGAAATGTCATCAGTCAATGACATTCATGACATTGACATATCACGTCATTATAATATCGAAAATAGTTCAGTGGCGCAGACTAGAGGTTAGACAAGGAAAGATTTATCTGACCTCTCTATATTTCAATGCGGTCACGTTGGTAGCATTGAAGAGAAAGACGGAAGAGGAGAGACTTTCCTTTCTCTCGATAACGGTAGAAAAGAGCTCAATTCGAACATCCTTGGATATTGAATAAACCTGATCTCTAAATGCAGGTAGAATATTCTCACCACATGGATTATACAGAGTGGCCACCAGTAACGCTTCGGTCTCTAGAAGGCTAACCACTTATCTTCTTGGAATTCTTCCTCTCTAGGAAGTTGCATGTCAACATAGGCTACCATTTGAAATTATTTTGAAACATACAGGATGTCCCCAAAAATCACAAAACACTGAAGTTGAACTTTTTTCAATCGAACACCATATATATTATTTCATTTTGAGATTCTCCCTGGTGAGCTGATTTCAACAATCCATCATACTTGGGGTCTAGCTCTTATAATTACTGAGATATAGGGTGTGAGAAATCGAGATTTTCCAAGTTCAAGAATTTTTTGTGTCTAAACCATTCATAATTGGTCAAAACGGCTCACATGTCCCTATCTCAACTTTTGATCAACTATCTACTGACATTTAATTGAAAAAAATACAGGGTGGTGCAGAATTCAGAATCTTGATCACCCGGTATATGTCCCAATTAAATATCAGTAGATAGTTAATCAAAAGTTGAGATAGGGACATGTAAGCCGTTTTGACCAATTATGAATAGTTTCGACACAAAAAATTCTTGAACTTGGAAAATCTCGATTTTTCACACCCTATATTTCAGTAATTATAACTGCTAGACCCCAAGTATGATGGGTCGTTGAAATCAGCTCATCAGGGAGAATAGTTTCGACACAAAAAATTCTTGAACTTGGAAAATCTCGATTTTTCACACCCTATATTTCAGTAACTATAACTGCTAGACCCCAAGTATGATGGGTCGTTGAAATCAGCTCATCAGGGAGAATCTCAAAATGAAATAATATATAGGGTGTTCGATAGAAAAAAGTTTAACTTCAGTGTTTTATGGTTTTTGGGGACACCCTGTATGTTTCGAAATAATTTTAAATGGTAGCCTATGTTGACATGCAACTTCCTAGAGAGGAAGAATTCCAAGAAGATAAGTGGTTAGCCTTCTAGAGACCGAGGCGTTACTGGTGGCCCACCCTGTATGTTGCATTGCATATATGGCACGGCATCCACGTTCCAGGTATAGTATTGAATTCGTGCCTGTAGTGTCTAATGATGCATGTCAACAAAGTAAAGTCATCGTCCACAAATATTGTAATGTAAAGAAGTCTGAGGTCTTGCTTTCATCTATCTACCGATATTATTATAATAAAGGTATTATAATAATCTGTCAAGTAAGTCACATTGGTGGTTAGTTCACATATTTATTTTAGTTAATTCTTTCGGTTGCAAAATTCCACTGTCAATCAAAGTGTCACTTTTGATCCTAATAAAACAATTTACTATTGTGTTAGAAAACAGGGATTAAAATAGTTTCAAAAAAGTTTAAAAGCTAACCCGTTATCGTAAAATCTTCGATGAGATTCATATTTTAAATTGAAATGCAGCTTCCGTAAGTCATCACGAGAGTGAAATGAGTATGTTTGGTTGCCTATATCATAATCGATCGTTAATAGACAATTTAATCGTTAAATGGGGTCGACGGAAAAAAGATGAATTTCATTATATTATATCAATTCGAAAATATACCTTGAAAATTATCTTTAAAAATCCTTTTGATTATTCTTCCAAATTTATCTTTGAACATTATAATGTTTTATCTGTTGATCGATCGTTTTATATATCATCAACAATATACAATCATGTGAAACATAAATATGACAACAAAAATAAAATTGATGGTTGGATATCAACTGAGAAATTCTCTTCAACTTTAAAAGGCTTTAATAGGCAACTAATATAGGCATAAAAATTTTCAATAAATTGCCTCCTTCTTTAAAAAAATCAGTTGTTTTGGATTCAAGAAAAAAATTAAATCGTGGTTAATTGAGAATTCAGAAATTTTTAAAATTTGATTTTATGAAAAAATACTTACGCAACATAATATAATGTTTATTATTATTATTTTTAAATAATATAAAAATATATTCATTATGTTAATTGTACTCAATGAGAAAATTAATTTTAGTTAGTCAGTGGAAGGAAAAAAAAAATTACATGATCATGTAAAAGTTTTCAAATTTTTTGATCATGTAAATATTATTAAAAAAATGCATATTATTATTAATATAGTACGCTGATATACAGGGTGTCTGTGAAAGGTCTTTACAAAAACATACCACATATTCCCTAGACCAAAATGAGTCGATTTAAGTAAAATTACCTTAGTACAAAGTTGCATCGTTTGGGCTCCAGAGGGTCTTGAAGTTACAATTTTTAATTCGTTTTTACCATATAAATTTGAAACGGAATATGAGATCTTGCTGAAATTTGATAGTTTTATGTGGCAAAAAAATGGTGTTAAAATTTTGTCCGATAATAATACATAGGCGTAGAACTTGATTTTTAAAATAATTGCACCTTTAAAAATTCTACGCCAATGGAAGAAAAGGAGTTTGAGTATGAAATTTAGATTGTGCAACTCATTTACTTCAAAAAAGGTTCTCTTGATAAGACTCGATTGCTCTCATGGTTTTGACGAAATTTGCATTTAAGTAATTTTAGAACATAAACAATAATTATTAAAATACAAACTTTGTCAAAACCATGAGAGTAAATCGAGTGTTATTAAGGGAACTTTTTTGTAGTGAATGAGTACCCAATCCAAATTTCACACTCAAACCCCTTTTCTGCCATAGGCGTAGAACTTGATATTTTAAATAATTGCAACTTTAAAAATTCTACGCCAATGGCAGAAAAGGGGTTTGAGTATGAAATTTGGATTGGGTACTCATTTATTACAAAAAAGTACCCTTGATAACACTCGATTTACTCTCATGGTTTCGACAAAGTTTGTATTTTAATAATTATTGTTTATGTTCTAAAATTACTAAAATGCAAATTTCGTCAAAACCATGAGAGCAATCGAGTTATATCAGGAGTACCTTTTTCAAAGTAAATGAGTTGCGCAATCTAAATTTCATACTCAAACTCCTCTTCTTCCATTGGCGTAGAATTTTTAAAGGTGCAATTATTTGAAAAATCAAGTTCTACGCCTATGTATCATTATCGGACAAAATTTTAACACAATTTTTTTTGCCACATAAAACTCTATCAATATACCAAATTTCAGCAAAATCGCATATATGCCGTTTCAAATTTATATGGGAAAAACGATTTGAAAATTGTAACTTCAAGGCCCTCTGGAGCCCAAACGATGCAACTTTGTACTAAGGCAATTTTACTCAAATCGACTTATTCTGGTCTAGGGAATATGTGGTATGTTTTTGTAAAGACCTTTTACAGACACCCTGTATATGTTATTTTAAAAATGAATAAATAAATAAACATAGTTGATTAGGAATGCAGGTACTTACCTATTTTCTTTATTAGTCATTGACATATTCACTGTGAAAATGGCATGACTTCTAGAGCTCTGCGAATTCATAGCCGTGCATCCAGTAGCCCTACCTGCAGAGCCCTTCTGAAGGATCGCTAACACTTCTTCGGCAGACTTTACGGGCAATTCTGATAGCCCAGGAATCAATATACCTCAAAAATTCGAAATTATTTGATTAAACCAATTTGATCGTACTATAATCAAGTTATAAAGAAGATGTAAGAGTCCTGTCGTTGAATAAAACATAATAGGGGGAACCCATGATATTATAGTTCATTCTTGATATATCTTCATCTGAGGTTTAAGCTTCAAAATGAGCATGAGATTTCAAAAATCGGTTGACGAGGAAAAAAGTTATGACTGCAAAACCATTTTTTTGAGATCACTCTGTAAATAAAAGAGATGAGGAGACAATTCGAGAACTGTCCCAAGATAATGAGATCATCTACATGTCTCTTCTGTCAAAGTAAAAAAAAAAGTTTTTCTTCATTTTGGATACTTTTGAAATTTCCGAAATTTTGCACAGTTTCACGTAACACCCTGTAGCGATTTCATGTGAAGAGCCATATGTTTTAAAGAATTACGAGATTATAGCTGAAGGACTGGGCTAGCGAACAGTGTGATCCGAATTCAAATCGTTCAAGACAGAAAAAAGTTATTCATATTTCAACCGAAGAAAAATTTTAGGGTGCAACGAAATTAATGTTGCATAGTTTAGTGTGTCCCACTTACCATGCTCACCATGGGTATCTTTTTAACGGTGAGAGATAAGAGGTCGGTTAAATGACACCAAATGTGGAGTTTGTCAATGCCAACTATAATGTGAAAAAATATTTTGATAAAATCTATTCGTTTTTGTTTTATACGCAAAAAACAGATTTTGATCATTTTCATGTCTCCTCCGTAACTTCTTTATTCATGAAAATATTCGAATAGAAATTTCACATTCTCATAGCAGTTTTTCAAAGTGATTTCGAAAAAAATATGAAATTCATACCAACTCTTCTAGAATTTGAGATATCAGCACCAACTTCAGTTTTTCAAATGTAGGTCATAGCTCACTATGACTTAGCTACAAATAACTTTTTTTTCTCTTACAGATGATATGTCGCAGTAATAGTTTTGTGTTGATAACAACGGAGTTATCGTCATTTATACAAAAACAAAAAATGATTTGGATGCCGCCATCTTGAATTCATAAATTTTAACAAAAAAATCATGATCTCCGACCTCAAAAACCCCCACTTACCAATTTTGAATGTAATCGGACCAAATCTTGTCCGCCATCTTGGAGCATCCATTTTTTTTATTTCAGCGAAAATTCCATAACTTCGATTAACTTGAAATTTGGCAGGTGTTCATAATTTCGGTGACAATTCATCATGGAATTTTTGTTGAAATTAAAAAAAATGGCTGCTCCAAGATGGCGGACAAGATTTGGTCCGATTCCATTCAAAATTGGTAAGTGGGAGTTTTTGAGGTCGGAGATCATGATTTTTTTGTTATTATCTATAAATTCAAGATGGCGGCTTACAAATATTTTTTTGTTTTTGTATAAATGACGATAACTCCGTTGTTATCAACACAAAACTATTACTGCGACATATCATCTGTAAGAGAAAAAAAAGTTATTTGTAACTAAGTCATAGTGAGCTATGACCTACATTTGAAAAACTATAGTTGGTGCTGATATCTCAAATTCTAGAAGAGTTGGTATAAATTTCATATTTTTTTCGAAATCACTTTGAAAAACTGCCATGAAAATGTGAAATTCCTATTTGAATAATTTCATAAATAAAGAAGTTACGGAGGAGACATGAAAATGATCAAAATCTGTTTTTTGCGTATAAAACAAAAACGAATATATTTTATCAAAATATTTTTTCCCATTATAGTTGGCCATGACAAACTACACATTTGGTGTCACTTAACCGACCTCGTATCTCTCACCGTTAAAAAGATACCTATGGTGAGCATGGTAAGTGGGACACACTGTATACCGAGATGTGACGATTTTGATAAATACATCGCCAGAGACAGAGATAATGGAAAAAGCTGCGAAAGTTGGATTTGTTTCCAGAAATTTCAAGAAAAAAGTATGAATTGACATATTGGTACGAAAAATTTATGGAATCTAAAAAAACAGAAATAAAATCTTTTTCGAAAAGTGTACTATTTTGAAATACTTTGAGGAACTAGGAAAGGCGTCTACTCTTTGGTCCCAATATTCAATGTGGCATAGTGCCACATTATAAAATGAATACCAATAAGTTACATTACTCTCATTCTTTGAATAAGTGCAGTTGTAGAAAAAGTATAGTGTGCAACATGTGGGGACAAGCACTTTTCTCACTCGTGCGTTTGCATCACTTGCCCTTCAGGCTCGTTCCACAAACTTCCACACTCGCGTAAAAAAGTATACTTCACGCACTAGATACACAATATACTATAGAGTGAGAGGAGACAAGGATCTGTCCGTAACCTGTTAAGATGACAAATATGTCCGGAAGCATCAAGGGACCCAATTAAATACTCGCGAGTCAATGGAAAATAAATAACTTCAAATAAATATCTACCTTTCACTGGATCTTCTCGCAATTCCACTACGCATTGGTCTCGGGGCTTCCCCGATAGCAGATCATACAGTACCTCCTGATAGAGTTCCATGAACGAGACGGTTATATCGAAATCGATGGAGAAATTGTCTTTGACGGTGTCGAAAATTTCGCTTATCGCCCTGGGAATAACGCCCATTTGCCCTGCTCCACTGTATGCTGTGCCCATTGAATGGGTCTTACCTGAACCAGTTTGTCCATATGCCATGATAGTAAGATTGTACCCCTAAAATACCCATGATATATCAAAAATTATCAATTTATCTATCTATCTATCTATCTATCTTGGCAAAATATTTTATAAGGATTTTTTCGTTGGAAGAAGTCCATCCATGGTAACTCAAAGTGGAGTGGTGTAGTTCATTGATAAAAACCCAAAGTCATCTCCACAACTTCAAATAGAATGGTCAAAGATCTCTCGTAACTAGGGATCGACCGATATGATTTTTTGAGGCCGATACCGATATCGGCCTTTACCGATATAGGCATGGCCGATATTGACCGATACCGATATATCGGCCAAAAATTCAGAGTATTGTTTTTCCCTTGAAAAATATATTCGAAATGGTGGAAAACCAAAGGGAAGACTCTATGCGTAAATTTTAAATTACTAAAAAAGCCGATATTGAAGAAGAATATACAATGTATATAAAATTAAAAATATTCTAAAAAATGAAGATCCTTTGATGTGGTGGGAAAAAGAGAAAAATAACTTTTCACTACTGTATAAATGTGCAATTATATATTTAGCACCACCACCCAGTAGTGTAGCGAGCGAAAAGCTATTTTCTTCAGCTGGAAACGACTAACGCCTAAAATGGCTGAAAATAATTTACCGAAACTCAATTTCAAATATTAATTTTCGTTTTGTAAGTATTTTTTTTACAATAACTGTTTATTTTTCAATATAAGAAATGAGTTTTGGTATTTTTTTAGAATTTCATGTTTGTTTTTAGATATTTTGTGTTCAATATTTGGTTACTTTCTTAGAATTTATGTTCGTTTTTTAATATTTTTGAGTAAATATGTATTATTTTGAACATAACATATTTTTTGGGGGTTTGTTTTTGTGTTTTTTTTTCTTCCAGGTAAAAAGTTACACCATCTTAAAGACTATTATATTTTATTTTATTATTACTAAGCCGATACCGATATAGGCCGACATTGCCTCTTCATATCGGCCGATACCGATATCGGACAAACACGCCGATATGGCCGATATACCGATACCGATATCGGTATCGGTATCGGTCGATCTCTAATCGTAACATAACATGTTTCGGGATTATATAAGCCCATCATCAGCAAATAGAAATTATCATAGTTTTGAAAATCAAAAAAGTAGACATAGAAAAGATAGAATAGTATGCTCCATGATTGTCTCTTTAAAATGATGTAAATCTATACCTACTAATACTATAAAGAGGAAAGATTTTATTGTTTGTTTTTTTGTATGTATTGAATAGGCTTCGAAACCACTGGAGTGATTTGGCTGAAAATTGGTGGGGAGGTAGCTTAGAACCAGGGGAAGGTTATAGGATAATTTTTATCCCGGTACCATTAGGAAATTCAAGATGGCGGATCTAATATATCGAACGAGTTTTGTAATCATGGTCCGATTCTATTCAGAATTGGTATCTGGGTGTTTTCGGGGTCGAAGATTATGATTCTTTCGTCAGAGTATGAAAATTCCGGCGGAATTTGGAAATTCAAGATAGCGGAACCAATATGGCGGACTAGTTTTGTGATTATAATCCGATTCTTTTCAAAATTGGTACCTAGGGGTTTTCGTGATCGGTGATTATGATTCCTTCGTCAAAATAAAGAAATTCAAGATTGCGGATCCAAAATGACGGATTTTGTAATTAGAATAAGATTTTATTCAAATTTGGTATCTGGTGGTTCTCGGGGTCAGAGATTATGATTCTTTCGTCAGAATTAGGAAATTCAAGATGTCGGACCCAACATGGCGGACGAGTATTGTAATTATGATCCGACTCTCTTCAAAATTGTTATCTGGGTGATTTCGGGGTCGGAAATCATGATTCTTTTGTCAAAATTTGGAAAGAGCGGGATTTGGAAATTCAAGACGGTGGTACCAATATACCGGACGAGTTTTGTAATGAGCGTGTACACCTTAGTAGAACTTTCAACTCAAACCATGTTTATAATGATCCTTTTATACATAAATAATGATTGACGACATAATTCGCTCGAAAAATTAACTGGAATGTTTTATTTTTGGACATAAATAATAGTACCTTCTGAAAACGGACCCTCTTATGACGTAGAAACCTCATCTCGCCATAGTTGAAAGAAAATACCAAACGCCCGACGGAGACTGAGGCAACTGAAATATTAATTCTTTCAACTGTGATCTCGCGCTAATTCACTCTGTCAGAAATCATGTATCATTCATCTCTGTCTGGAATAGTCTTGTTTCAGTATTAGGGTTTTGACGTCACATCATCGCCTCGTTTTCAGAGGTCCGAAAAATCGGGGATTTCAATATTTTTTTATAAAACGTAGGGAGCTCACAGCAAGAAACGGTTTGCGGTGGTGAGCTAGTTTCGGTGAGTTCTATCGAATTATGAAATAAACTTGCCGATTCTATTCAAAATTTGTAAGTGGACGTTTTCGGGATCAAAAATTATGTTTCCTTCGTCAAAATTAGGGAATTCAAGATGGTAGATCCAATATTGCGGACGAGTTTTGTAATTATGTTCCGATTCTATTCAAAGTTTTCATCTGGGGTTTTGAGTCGGATATTATGATTCTTTCGTCAAAATTGGGAAATTCAAGTGAACTAAAAAGAAGTTGAAATAAATTGTAGTTTGAAAAACTGAAGAAACACACTTGTGATAGCGACACTAGAAAATAAAATAACAATAGTACTGAAAAAATATAATATAGAAATAATGTATATATAGCAAAACAACGTTTGCAAGGTGTGCTAATTTATTATAAAACTCAATTAAACATGTTCCATTAGGATTGATCTTTGATCATTCTAAGAAAAGTTGTGGAGATGACTTTGGGTCTTTATCTATGGGTTTTATAAGGATTTGAGAATTCAATTGAATGTTTTTTATGAAAGTTTCATCACAGGGTGGTCTCGAAATTGGGGCCATAACCTAGTTAAAGTATGTGGTATGGTAAGACCATGCATTTTTTTAAATAAATAAAACAAGTTCTTGTAATTCATTGTGTGTGTTAAAAAGTCAAGGAGAGATAAAAGAATATACATATACAGTATGATGCAATTGTATGGAATAAATTCATTATTTCACAAATGGGCGACATTTGAAGAAATTCCAAAAACACGTGAGTTTTAATTTTTGAAGCCTCATCTCATGACATTCATATGAGAGATGTTACGTCACTGGTGTTGGAGTAATGACGTAATGGACGATTTTTTCAAATACAAACAGGGGTCATGTGACACCTCGTTTGAAAGGTCTACTGATCGTCTATCCAACAGTCAAAATTTTGCATAATAAGATTGAAATTAAAATGTTTTATCATTTGGTTAACTGAATCTTGCAGAGATCTTCTACTGAGAATTGAACATCGAAGGGTCGTCTCGAGGGTCGTCTAGTTGAAAAAATACATCGATAAAAAAGTTCTGAACTCTACTTTTTGGATTTTTTTCGGAAGTCGTCTTGTTTTGAAATGAATTTATTCCATACATTTGCATAATACTGTATATCTAGGTTCATATAATGCAAATTTTTACCTTGAATAGGTTACCAATAAGAGGCTGAACACATCTATCATATAATTGATCTTGTTCAGATTTACTGGACAGAACATAATTGAATGTGAAAGCTTTACTCCCTAAACTGTGTATTATTATTTGTTCATTGTCCTCTATTACATCCAATATGTCTTTGCAACCTCTTTCAATTTCACTTTGTACAAGTGGTCTCACCCTTACTGCAACTCTAACTGATACATTATCACTATTATCAGACATATTTTTGCTGAAAAAAAAAATACAAAATTATTGTATGTACAAACAATCGATTTATACAGGGTGAGTCCTCCTAACTATTGGAACATAGGCTAAGGATGGATTGTTTGGATCAAAATATGGCAATAGGACCAAATATGCCTTGATAAAATAATGCTGTGGATATCAAATATTTCATTTATGGAGGGTGTGCTTTGGACAGTCAGATAATTGTTGCTGGTAAATAACATTTGTTGTCAGTGAATAAATTTTGGTTCAAGGATATGGTCAATACTTTTTCGGTTGAAACACCCTGTGTTTTTTTCACAGCATTATTTTATTGAAGCATATTTGGTCCTATTGCCATATTTTGGTCAAAACAATCCACCCTTAGCCTATGTCTCAATAGTTATGACTCACCCTGTATAATCATCTACAACTATATCCATGAAATACTTAGGAATAACAATAGATAATAAAATAAATTTCAACATGCATACAGCCAAAATTAAAATGTTATAGCCAGATCAAAAAACTTCAAGAGTCTCACATACAAAGGCAATGGAATAAACTTGAACACAAAATGCTGGATCTACAGGGTGTCTGTAAAAGGTCTTTACAAAAACATACCACATATTCCCTACACCAAAATAAGTCGATTTAAGTAAAATTACCTTAGTACAAACTTGCATCGTTTGGGCTCCAGAAGGCCTTGAAGTTACAATTTTTAAATCGTTTTTACCATATAAATTTAAAAGGGCATATGCGATTTTGCTGGAATTAGGTATATTGATAGAGTTTTATGTGAAAAAAAAATGGTGTTAAAATTTTGTCCGATGATAAGACATAGGCGTAGAACTTGATTTTTTGAATAATTGCACCTTTAAAAATTCTACGCCAATGGAAGAAAAGGAGTTTGAGTATGAAATTTAGATTGCACAACTCATTTACTTAAAAAAAGGTTCTCTTGATAAGACTCGATTGCTCTCATGGTTTTGACGAAATTTGCATTTTAGTAATTTTAGAACATGAACAATAATCATTAAAATACAAACTTTGTCAAAACCATGAGAGTAAATCGAGTGTTATCAAGGGTACTTTTTTGTAGTAAATGAGTACCCAATCCAAATTTCATACTCAAACCCCTTTTCTGCCATAGGCGTAGAACTTGATTTTTTAAATAATTGCACCTTTAAAAATTCTACGCCAATGGCAGAAAAGGGGTTTGAGTATGAAATTTGGATTGGGTACTCATTTACTACAAAAAAGTACCCTTGATAACACTCGATTTACTCTCATGGTTTTGACAAAGTTTGTATTTTAATAATTATTGTTTATGTTCTAAAATTACTAAAATGCAAATTTCGTCAAAACCATGAGAGCAATCGAGTCTCATCAAGAGTGCCTTTTTTAAAGTAAATGAGTTGCGCAATCTAAATTTCATACTCAAACTCCTTTTCTTCCATTGGCGTAGAATTCTTAAAGGTGCAATTATTTAAAAAATCAAGTTCTACGCCTATGTATTATTATTGGACAAAATTTTAACACAATTTTTTGCCACATAAAACTCTATCAATATACTAAATTTCAGCAAATTCGCATATGCCGTTTAAAATTTATATGGGAAAAACGATTTAAAAATTGTAACTTCAAGGCCCTCTGGAGCCCAAACAATACAACTTTGTACTGAGGTAATTTTACTTAAATTGACTTATTTTGGTGTCTAGGGAATATGTGGTATGTTTTTGTAAATACCTTTTACAGACACCCTGTATAAACTAATATGCAGGCCTCCCATAGAATATGGTAATGTGTTACCTATTCCTCAACATCAAAAGAGCAGTCATGCAGAATCTCAGAATAGCTGAAAGATATACCACTAAAAGTTAATAATCCACTACATAAACTTCCCAACCAATTCCTGTACCAGATAAGATCCATAAAACCAAAGGAAAATCCCATTTTCAGGAACCCACAGAGGCATCCAATTCATATGCTATGGGAACAATAATCATTATCAACATGATCTTTTTTTCAACATATATTACTATAAATATATTAGGAGGGGGAAACAACTCTTTAAAATTAAGTATCATTTTTAATACATTAAGTACAATTTAACAAGCTGTCAAGTCTCCTTTCAATTACTTCAGTATTTAAGTACCTGTTAACATTACCTTAGGTAATACCAGTTTCAAGTATTTTAAGTACTTTTTAATTACCAGATATTGAAATATGGTGTACACATTTTGGGTAGTTGTTTCCCCCTTATATATTACCATAATCATTCCCATTCAATCATACAATAATTTCATTTTGAAGGTCACAGTACTGAAACATTTTTTAATACTTGGGAGTAGTTTATTGGATTGAGAACTGAATTCAAATGTTCAAGTAGTTATATCTATCTATCTACTTCTCATACTCATTGACCAAGTGATGAAGTATCAAAATAATAATCAAATTAACCATCTATAAATCAATATATCACCCAATTTTAACTATTGCATTATTCATATACATAGAGCTTCATTTTGAAATCAGAACTTAAAAATAATATATCATCAACTCTCCAATCAACTAAGAGTAAAAGAGGGTCATATTTAGGCTAGTCATTCATGTCCAGGTCTGATTTGATTTTATTGAATAATATTCATGTGATAATAATTGTGTAATCAAAATACATGTACAAAATTTGTATGGAATATTCAAAAGAATGATTGGGACTAGGTTTTGGTTCAACCCCTGGAGTCTACTACCTGATCTAATAGGAGGGTAGGTACAAATTGATTCAAGATATGAATTATTCAGAAAAGAATGCTACATCTTACAGTGTCTATACACTATTCCTATTCTATAGAGAGATCTTCCCCTCTGATGTTATTTGGATTTGTTATTCAGTTTAGAATTAGTTTGAATCACAAAAAAATTACAACTGAATGAGTGTTAGTAGATATCTACTGAAACAAAAAAAATCAAGGTTCTCTCAGAAATAAACAAGCATACAAAAAATGGAAAGATATGAGAGCAAAAAAGGGGTCAATGAGCAAACAGAAATGGAACTCTGGTGAGAACTCTGTCTTTGACAATAAATTCACATATCAGCATTGGGACTGTTTGGGCCGATTCGGATCCAATCTGGTCCCTGCCTATGAATCCCACAATGCCAAAACCTCGGCCAAAACCATCAAAAGATGAAAATATCTACCATTCAATTCCAAGGCACTACTCACCTGAAGCCTTATCAAGTCACTTAACACAAAGACGATAAAACACACAAATTACGACTCACTACACACTAAAATCAAAATTATTGTTGTAAAATCCTGTGACATGAAGAAATTGGATTTTTAAATTTGAAAATTTACAAGTAAAGCGTCAAGTCCTCAAGTCAAGCATCCTTCTCCAACTTTTCATTATGAAAGGGACACTAGTGACAGTTGCAGTTGACTGATTCAAATTTCGAACACAACGGTCATTTCCTTAGATCATGTAGTGTATGATCATAGGTGGGGAAACTTCACGAAGATCGCGCCAGTTTCTGTAAGTGTGATGGCTGCCATTCGTAATCACTCGTCACACTTGTGAAAAATTGAAAAGTTTTATATCCGAATTATTATACAGGTTGATCTATCTGTACAGAGTACTGATTCCACAATATTTTTGAATACTCTATTGTTTGCTCCAGTTAACAAGTGTAAATTGTTTCAGGTGACAGTGGCCCTGCAGAAGTATCTGGCATGAGAGCAACCATGAAATTATTGGAAAGCACTGGCGAGGTGAGTGAGTTTTTTACACACCAAAGACAAAATTATGTACATAGAGACTCCTCTTTCAGTATATAATAGTCACGTTTCACTAGGCAGTAAATCTACATTTACTGTCGTGTGAAACATATAATTTTTCCTTCAAATGTTAAAATAAATTTTGTGTTTGAGTTTTTTATTGAAAATTTCATCATTTGTGAGAGAAGGTACACTTTTCCTGCCTGTTGAATGTTAGAGAAAAGCCACTTTCCCTGCCGCTTGGAGAAATAGTTATTTTTGTATCCAGTGTGTAAAATTCTACTTTGGTGATCGAGAACAGTTTTTTTTTAACGAGGCGCAGCATCCTCACTGAGATACAAGGTGTCGAAAGTATCCTCCTGAAAGGGGGCACCTGAAAAACGCCACGACGTAATAAAGTGAAATAAACTTCATATGCCCAGTGCGATGAACATAAAATCATTCCAAAGGTTCATTCAGGAGTGTATAATACAGAGTGGCGGACTTCATTAAATCTTGACCTAAGTCGATTTCCAGTGAAACCGAAAGTGATACTCAATTGTTTTTTCATGGAAAATAGTGGTTTTAGGAACTATATCATCGTTCCGAAGTTCAAAATTCTAACTTGAAGAACAATTGAATGACGTGGCCAGCATAGACAATTGAATGATAAGGCATGTTCTTTTTTACACCACATTTTCATCATTGATGGAAGTGACGTCACTCTCTGATACATCGAATTGTTGAAGACATCAGTGTTGAAAACAAACGCAGTAATTTGACGTGACAATCACAACTGTTTTTTCCTTCATTCATTTTTCTTTCCGTGATTTGATGGGGATTTAGATTGTTTTTAATTAGAAGCTCAGAATTGGCGAAAACTAATGGAAAATGGAAAAATAATGATTTAAAAGTGTTATTGGAGTCCTTGTTTCCAGATCCAGAAGTTCTAGCAGTTCTTCTGATATTATCAGGGATGAAATATTGATTATATTGGGTAGTAGACGAGATAGCTTGAAAATTCTCAACAACCTATATATTTACAAAACAGTGCTATACATTGTGATGATATGGATAATGTCATTAATGAGAATTCTCTGATGGTACTCAAGTTTCTTGAATGTTTGCACCAATTTCGTGTAATTCAGGAAGAGGAAGAAAAAAGTACCTACCACTCGAAATTTCTTCAATTTCTGTTTATGTAAATAATGCAGTTATTCTTCTATTTTCATATTCTAGGCTGATTTCGATCAATGCATCCATATTTTTTCTTGAGCAAATGGCAAACAGCTTTCAAATACAATATTTTGCTATTAGTTTTTTCATGGTTCGCTGTCATTTCGAAAGCCACCAACATTCGTCCATCATCTCTCTACATATATCGGTGGAATATGGTTTGCAATTTTGGTTGTTACAACAATAATAAATGAACGAGGGGTAACGTCAAACTGGAATCCACCAAAGAATATATTAATACAGTTGGTGGATTGATATGCAGCCACCGGTGAATAAAAGAACGTCTCCTTTTTGTCGCAGATGCAATCTCTGCAGCCCACTCGGCTGAACAACACGAGGAAGGCGCAAACCGAGGTGGTGTTCTTCAATCGCGTGCCCAAGGTCGGCTCGCAGACCCTGATGGAGCTGATCCGTCGGCTGAGCTCTAAGAACGACTTCGGCTTCCACCAGGACAGGGTTCAGCGCGTGGAGACGATCCGTTTGTCGCTGGAGGACCAGGCCGAACTCGCCGCGCTCGTATCCAGCTATGAGCCTCCCGGCGTTTATATTAAGCACGTGTGCTTCACCAACGTTTCCAAGTGGGTAGAAAGAGTGTTTTTCATTCCGTGGCATAATGTGAAACTGGGGCTACGGCTTTTTTTGAACAATGAACTCATTTGAAGTGAAAACAACTACGCGTCTGAACTGCCATTCTAGAAGAACTTTTTTTACGAACATTTTGCAGCTGTAAATTAGGAGGAGATATTTGATTTTTTGGATTTATCTCAGTCCGAAATGGGATAATAAGTATTTTTGTAATCATGATCCGATTCTATTCAAAATTTGTATCTGGGTCTTTTCGGGGTCGGAGATTATAATTTCGAATATGGCAAAATACGTATCTGGGGTTCTCGTGGTCCGATATTATGAATCATTCGTTTTAATTTGGAGATTCGAGTGAACTTAAAAGGAGTAGCAAAAAAATCTGATAGCTAGACGATACTGATAATGTGATGCGAATGGAAAAGTCGACAAGTGATAATGATTGCTAATCTTCAACCAATTTTCAACGCAACTGTGATCCCTATATATTCAACTTTAGAATTAAGGTTGCGGCATAGATCTTAAAGAACGCCTAACAAATACAACTTAAATAAACTAACCCATCGGAGTGTTTTCATTATATAAGTATTAACGAAGGAATCCTAGCATGAGACAGAACGAACTAGAGAGCTATATTTTTTGATGACCATCGCGGTCCCCTCGTGTTAGTTTCTATCGATCTGTTTCGGTATGAGATTAGCTCATTCATTTAAGCTTCTGCGATTATTATAGGTCACTTTTTCTTTACTAACTTGAGAATTTATGTTTTAGCTTTGGATTACCTGAACCAATTTACATCAACTTAGTCAGAGATCCTGTCGAGAGGGTTATCTCCTGGTATTATTATGTTCGAGCGCCTTGGTATTACGTGGAAAGGAAAATTGCATTCCCAGATATACCATTACCTGACCCGAAATGGCTGAAAAAGGCAAGTATATGCTTAATAACAATACTTGATAGAAAGGACACTTCTTCTTGTTCATCAAAGTTCCCACAAATTTTCTAGTAGGTAACTAATATTGAAGAAATATTTATTCCTTATGAACAATATCCTCAATAAATTAGTCAAGTGCTCTCGGAGTATCTGAATGTAATAATCACACCATATTTAATTAATCATTTTGATAAATACTTCCCCATAAAAATCCCTTTGCACATGATATCATCCAAATCCCTTTGAACATGATATCATTCAGAAAACTGAAAGAGCTGAGGAAGTTTATTTATTGTTATCAATTCGCAATCGGTTAACGAATAAGAAGATACAGAGTTTCTCTTTGCGTTCAGTAGCCATGAGGTGAGTCCAGCTTCAGCCGGAGTCTGGACGCGCCATGAAGGAGATCAGTTCAGACTCAGCGGGCGCATATTTACATTACTGGCGCGATAGTTAGATAGTTTCAAGACCACCGGCGCGGTCCATAACGAGGCGAGTTTAGCCTCAGCCGGGTGTATTTTCACGTTACTGATGCCATATTTTCGGGACAACCAGCAGTGCGGACACAGCCAGGTCACGAATGTGGCGAGTTGAGCCTCAGTCAGGAGTACTTTTACGTTATTGACGCCATATTTTCAAGACAATCAGCAGTGCGGATGCAGCGCGGTCACGATTGTGGCGAGTACAGCCTCTTCCAAGCGCATTTTCACGTTACTGGTGCAATACTAGCCAGCAGCGCGGTCATGAATACGGTGAGTTCAGCCACAGCTGTGCGCATTTTTACGTTACTGGCGCGATAGTAACCAGTAGCCCGGTCATGAACGCGCCATCAAGAAGGTCAGTTCTACGAAAGCGTAGAAGCACCATATAATATATTTTTTTTATAATCGACAGATATAACAGCCAACTAGCCTAATTGACAGATGCAAAGTGGTAAGTAGCACACTTGACAGATACTAAGTGGTAACTAGCATACTTGACTGATACTTAAGTGACAACTAGCCTAATTGACAGATACTAAGTGGTAAGTAGCCTAATTGACAATTACTAAGTGGTTACTAGTATACTTGACAGATACTTAAGTCAACTAGTATCTGGCAAATAGGCTAGTTATCACTTAATATCTGTCAATTTGGCTAATTGACACTTAAGTATCTGTCAAGTATATGCTACTTTACCACTTAGTATCTGTCAAGTATGCTATTTACCACTTAGTGTCTATCAATTAGGCTAGATACTACTTAGTATCTGTCAATTATGCCAGTTGACACTCAAGTATCTGTCAAGTATACTAGTTAGCACTTACTATCTGTCAAGTACGCTACTTACTACTTTGTATCTGTCAAATAGGCTAGTTGACACTCAGTCACTCAAGTATCTGTCGAGTATACTAGTTACCACTTAGTATTTGTCAAGTAGGCTACTTACCACTTAGTATTTGTCAATTATGCTAGTTGACAGTTATATCTGTCAATTATAAAAAAAAATATCATATATTATGGCGCTTCTACGCTTTCGTACAGTTCAGCCGCAGCGGGCGCATTTTCACATTACTGGAGCCATATTTTGCAGTGCGGGACACAGCGCGGTCGAATGTGGCGAGTTCAGCCTCAGCCGGGCGCATATTCACGTTACTGGTGTGATCGTACCAAGTAGCGCTTCAAATTTTTACAGGGTGAAACATTAAAAAACAGAAAACCTTCAAATTTCAGGATTTCGAGACTTGCGTGTTGACAGACGACCGCGAATGCCGGTACGTGCGAGGGGAGATCCGCGAAGGAATCGGCGACCATCGCAGGCAGTCGATGTTCTTCTGCGGCCACCACCACGACTGCCTGCCCTTCGACACGAGGGGTGCCCTCGAAAGGGCCAAGATGGCCGTCGAGCGGCATTACGCCGTAGTGGGGGTGCTGGAGGAGATGAACACGACGCTGACGGTGCTCGAGAAGTACGTGCCGAGGTTCTTCGAGGGGGCCAGCGACATCTATTGGAGTGAGTGTGGAATGTACCGCCTTCTTACTTTTCAATACAGGGTGTTTCGTTGATATTGCAAACAACTGCGAGATCGTATTTTCCGGGTCAAAATAGGAAAGAAAGTTCTTATACACAAACTTTTAATGATAATTTATTCCGAAATTCGACTTGGGTGTTCAGTTTTGCTTTGGAAAATATGAAAAATGGACTCGTTCGAGATCACGTGACTTTCTCTACATATCAAAGGTTCCATTTTTTAAATTATTCGCTGAAAATAGGCTAATTAGTATGAATTTCAAAAAAGTTGTTTCTATTTCAATTACGCTTATTTAAGATGTGTCTCGAAATTGGAAGTTCTATAACAACTTTGAGTTTTCGATATATTGCAATTTCTACGAAATGTCTGTAATATTGAAAAAAATTAACGCCGACAAAACTATCTCATTTTAGAAGCTTATTCATCATGATACCAACTTTCAATCACTGATTATCGACAGAAATATTATGATTTCCTTCAGAAACTATAGTAATCCCCGCTTCAAATTTGATGTATCGTATATCATTCAGTAGCGAACTTTATTTAAATATATTTTGTCATTACTATATCATCAGTCATCTATCAAAACATCATCAAACTACCTTATTACGTATCTAACGAAAGTTATTTGGGAGAGTTTGGTCAAAGTTGCAATTAGTAGAGATTAAAAAGTATCAAGAACTAGAAGTTGGCAATAGTAATAAATAAAAGAATTTGAATAGAAACAACACTTCTACTTGAACTTTTTCGAAATTCGAACCAAATAAGCCTATTTTCAGCGATTAATTTGAAGAAATGTAACTTTTGACATGTAGCAATAGTCACCTGACTCCGACAGAGTTGACAATTTCTCATCTCTTTTTAAGCAAAACTAAACGCCCAAATCAAATTTGAAAATACATTACCAAAAGATTTCCTATCTGATGCCAACGATTCGTTTCCGAGATATACAGGATGCACATCAAGTTTCTTAAAACATATATATGTATATTTTTTATTAATCTCTGAATTGACATTGGTTGGTACGTTATATATAGTTCTTGTTTCACCATGGTCACATGATTGAGTTGGTAAACGGCCGGGAAACTAGATTTCGATTATTACAATTTTTCTCTTATCCGGTTCATATGACGAATAGGTTTATTGGTTTTTGTTTGTTACTCCTGAAACGCAGCCAGATACGAAAAAAACTAACGAGCCAAAAAATATGTATTTTGAGTTGGTACAACCAAATAAACATTGCAAACATTTCAACAAAATCTACTGGGTGTCATTTTTCATGCAAAAATACCTCAATTGTGATTTCAACAGACATTGTGAATTTTGTCACTATTGGTTATTTAGGCATAATGGAGAAATAGATGAAAAAAATCGATATTCTTTAGGAACTTGAGCACCCTCTCTATCTCGGAAATGAATCGTTTTCGGACATTATGGAACTTTTTTTTAAATTATGACACAAAAAAAATATGACCTCGAAGTTTTGTGCAATATTAATGAAACATCCTGTATACCAGGGATTCAATAAGGGCCACGAGGTACTCATGAGGTACTGTATTACAGAAACAAGTAGTTTATAAAATACGCACCCTAGTGAAGGCGGTGAAAACCTGAATAGTGTATAGATGGTAGATATAAACCTTATTCCTTTCTTGAACCAGTGAACTTGTTAGCAAAATTAATATATATTATTATTATATATATATTATTTCTGAGATACAGTATCTAGTCAGACTCATTGAATCATACCGGGTACATATTGGATCGAAAATGGGCATATTTTTTTCGAATACTGGCTTCATATCTCCAACCAATAAACATGAACCATCAGACTACGTAACAATAATACTCACAATGATTCGAATATTTTGATTACCCAAGAAAATATTCAACTCTATTAAGCATATCAAAATCACAGAAAAACTCTGATGTTTTGATGTTTAGGAATGTTTAGGAGTTCGATTTTTGAGGTTAAGAAATAGGTTAGAATATTTTGAAGGTACAGTACAGCGTTGCCAAATGCACGCCAATACTTGTTACGTCATCACGTATCCGCCCTTATTGGTTTTTTGAATAGTCCACTAATTTGTATGGTTTTGGAAACGCGGTTTTTGGATAATGACAGCATTAATTATTGAAAAAACTACTGGTACACATTATTTCAATGTTACATTTATTTCTTATGCACATTCGAACTGAATTCGTGCTATTGTGTTCTCGCCTTGAAAATTGTCTTTTTTCGAAACATTGCGACAATAATGAATTGTAAAAATGATCCCTTTCACAATATATTACTGTATGAGTAATGTTTACGAAGCCCACTGCAATTACTGACATACTAATCAGGTTATTGTTATCTCCTATTTTTCTGCTTCTTTCGTTTTCTTTCCCTATGAAGTATTTGGCAACGGTGCTTCCTTCGGGTTTGTTCGGAGACTGTGGGTGTATCGAAATGTGGGGCTAACGAAATGTGGACATATCGAAATGTGGGCACCAAGCAGCGCACCACCATGGGCGTTCCATATTTTTTTCTGAAGGGCATAAATCATTTTATGGGGTTCAAATAATGCAGGAAATTTGGAGAGGTTCAAGAAAACGTACATATCGCACATACCATCATAGGTACCTAAAAGCTGATTGAATTTCTTGTTTTTTTCAGATGAGATTAGTCGGTATACGCCAATCAACAAGAATGCCTTCAAACCGCCAGTCAGCGAAGAAGTAAAGAATATAGTGAGAAGAAACTTCACGAGAGAGATAGAATTTTACGAGTTTTGCAAACAAAGACTTCATAAACAGTATTTAGCTTTAAAATTATAGGGTGACACAAATAAGTATAAACATCATCTTATCATCATGAAACTCAAATCAAGTGATTAAGCGTTATTATTGTATAAGACACAGTCTCAACAATTTTGTGTACTTAGAGAGGTACCTCTACTATTACGGAAATCATCTATTCCTGTTGATAACAGAAATGTTACACGTTTATGCATAGACCATTGGAAAATGTTTCATATTCTATATTGTGAAAAAATATTTCCTCTTGTTGAAAGGCTGATTATTTGTACCTATTTATTTTATCATGTCATTATATTCAGGTTAATGCAAATGGAGGATAATTCAGCATACCAAAGGTTTTCTCAAAATGTCAACAAATCCGATAATTATTATCTTCTAGTAAAAGTTACTAGACTGATTATTTGTTCAGGATGTTATGCATATTCTGGTGAAAGAACTAGAGTCAAAATGAAAGAGTTATTGTTGTTAAATATTGTTATATCTAGAGCTGGTTACTGATTTGAAACAAATACAATAATGAAGTAAAAAATATAAATAAAGCTCAAGTATACAGGGCCTTTCATGAGAAGACTCACATAGCCAAATGGTTGATAGGGGAAATCAAGACGAGTTGATGTATATATATGAAAATATTTTTTGACCCTCCATAACGAAGATACAGGGTATCATGTGAAATTGCTATATAAACTTTGATGGTCGATATTACAGAAATGATTCGTCGTAATCTGCTGAAATTTGGCAGCGACGTATCTCTACTGAAACTATTCAAGATAACATAATATTATGAAAAAATAATTCAGGTCCGGACTTGGGAAAATTTTATGATTCATTATTATGTCAAAAAAGTTCACTTTGTGTCCACTTTTCTCGAAAAATTCCATCAGATTCAGAAAGATCAGACAAAATGCTGTAAGAACTGCTCTTCAATTCACACGGCACACTTTGACCGGTTCAATGAAAAAATATGGAACAAAAACGTTCGAATGAATTTTCAATTTCGACCTCTGGCTGATAACTGTCAAAATGTTTTCATGTATATACATCAACTCGTCTTGATTTATTCCCCTATTAACCATTTGGCTATGTGAGTCTTCTCATGAAACACCCTGTATAAGCCATATTCGTTTTGATTTTATTGTATCTCATTTGCATATTCGAACCAGCTTTGGAAAAAAATGGTTACATATACTTGATCATTTAATGACTAATAAAAAATATTGTTTTGATGTGATATTATAATGTATAATTATAAATTTCTTCTTCTACCAATGAATATTTCATTTTTCCATTCACGTGTTTCAAATTTCGAAATTTTTATGAATCAAAATGCGACAATATCGCTGTCAATGATGTCATCAAACTTTCCAAGAATTGGAATTTTTTTTAAATCATCATTATGGAGAAATCCAGGGAAATATGCATGTTTATATTTCAGAATACGCTCTCTTCATTTAATATATTTTCAGCAATGCAGTGTTGCCGCTTCTATAAAAAAATAGCAACAACTTTGTTATTTCGAATGAAATACCCTGTATTTTATTGCAGTTTTATCCCTATCCTCCTTCTTCATCTACTGGAGAAAAATGAAAAACTTTGACATGGTTGATTGGGACACATGAAATACGAACATTTCAAAACATTTGGAATAGGTACCTATGAGAATAATCAAATATTTTGAAATAGGTATATTTTGAATCTCGCGCAACTCCAATAACAATGTATCGACAAAATAAATACAAATACAACATACGAGTAAATACGATTCATATATCTCTGTCAACAATGATCAATCTGTGGTAAATATATGTCACTCTTATAAAATCATACAATTATTATCTCTATAACAATTAATAGTCTTCGTAGAAATACTACTTCATAAAATATATATGGGCTCTCTGTAAACACAAAAATAAAAACGACAGTACTAGAAAGACGACGATCGTCATCGGGTTAGACCTTTCTTTTTGCGCAGGCGCAGCAGTCCCCTTCGTAGCTAAACTCGCCATGATCCGATCTTGCAGCTCCAGCCGAGTCGATTCTATCCCATGGCTAGATACACATCTAGATTAGAAGATTTCTATGGGTGTGGCAGCAATGCACAACCCTGGCTTTTTAATGTGTGAGGTGAAATGTGTGATTATGTTCCTGGAATAATACGGTTTTCTGGAATACCAATTCATTTTTCAAACGATCATGCAAAACTGGAATCTATAATTATTCATTGAATGGAAATATAACTTGATAATCATGAGTAATAATTGTTCGGGAATGACAGAGAAAAAATATGTCTTTCCCTTTCCTTCTGCCCTTATTATTGTGCCAACGGTAAATAATAAAAAATCATGTTATTGGTAACACTGAAAATGAGAAGAAGGTTATAATGGTCTTGTTTTTCAACTCTTCTCATTTTTATTGTTAGAAACATGAAATTTCCAATCTATTACGTTGGAACCATATACGTATTAATAAACAATACGGATCATGACGGGTGCCAGGATGAAGCCAAAAATATGAAACAAATGAATATCCATAAGGATTTGGTGGCATGATACGCATGCGCCATGCGCTATTATAATAGTCATCAAAGACATGCGTTTCGGTGGACAATGACGTTTACTAGCCTTTCAATCAAAGCAGTATGTGTCTGATCGTTTCAAAAGGTTTCCTTATGGATAGTCATTTGTCTTCAAAAATCGGCTTCATGTTTCGCTATGGAAACAGATAGAGATTATCCGTATTGATTATTAATACGTATATGGTTGGAACCCTGGCAAAGTTGTAAACATGGAGTAAATAAACTTTGCAACACTAATTTCGTCGCATCCCAAAATATTGTCCCTGTTAAATAAAGTTGTATAACTTTTCTCTGCTTTGAACAATTTGAATTCGGTTTACACTGTTCGCTAGCCCTTTAGCTATAATCTCGTACTTCTTTGAAACATGAGGTTCTTTATATACAATCGCTACAGGTTGTCACCTGAAACTGTGAAAAATTTCGGAATTTTCATAATGATCCCAAATGAACAAAAACTTTTTTTTTCAACTTCGACAGCAGAGGCATACAGATGCTTTCATCACCTAGGGATATTTTTCAAATTGTCTTTTCATCTCTTTAATTTACAGAGTGATCTCAAAAAATTTACTTTCTGGATTTTAGTCATAACTTTTTTCCTTTTCAACTAGTTTTTAAGATCTTATTTTGAAGCCGAAACTTCTGATGAAGAGATATGAAGATCAGAATTGACTCAAAATGAACATAATATACAGTGTGTCTCACTTCTAATGGAAGCACCCCCCCCCCCCCCCCCCGTATCTCACGTAATTATTGAGGTAGGATTCTGAAATTTGCAGGAGAAAGCGAAAGGGACGCCCTGATTCTGAATCCGAAGAGATTTCCAACCTACCTTGTCTCCTTATTAGTCAGGAGAAGAAATCGGAAAAGTGAAGTTCTAGAAGCAAATCATATAACATTTGAGTTAAAGGTGTTTCATAGGTAATTCGACCCTGCTGAATCCGATAATGCTTGTTACCAGCTCGAAATCCTGACCGGAAATAGATATTCAAGATGGCGGCCTATTTTTTGCAGTTTTTTGAATATATCTTGAAAACTATGAGGTTTAGCGCAAGAATTGTTTCATATAAAAATGATCTACATTGAATTGTGAAGAAGAAAGTTTGCACACGTTTTTTCTCAAAATGAACAGTGACGGAGATATGGGAGGTAAGAAAATTTCAATTTTGAAATATGTTGAAAAATTTTGTTTTTAATAATAATTATGGCAATGAAATTATATGTATCTGTAAGTGACTCAAAAATCTTACGATAAAATGTGTACACTAAGTATATGACGATGTATATATCTCATAAGCCTTACTTGTATATATATATACAAGCGAGCAAGCAATATACAAAACCTAAAATGAAGAGTTGACAAATGCTTTGTTCAATTTTTTATAGTCCATTGACTGTGAAAGGAGGAACAAGGAAAAAGAGAGGAAAGAGATTGGCGCCTGTTCGAAGGGTCATCAGTAACTGTAACGTTCCTCTACCCAAAATTTGGAAAAAAAGTCCTCTCAATGCCTGAGAACAAAGCGGATCTCGGAAGGTTTCTGTCAGAAGAAGCTTTAAAGTAAGATTTTGAGTCACTGGAAGTCGTGCTCTCAGGTGGATTCGAAGATGAGTCTCGAGTATAGAATCTACTGTCAAGGATCGTGACCTCATCCACCTTAGAGCGACACATGAGGAAACTGACACAAGGTTATTGGTTCTTCATACAGTTCTGGCAGACGCCGAAAATGTTGTTGTTTCGATCAGGGATACCGATGTCATTTTGCTTTTCTTGCACTACTTCTCGAAAATGAAATGTTCAAAGGTGTGATAGATTGGCACCTGAGCAAGTCACTAATCTTATGGCATTCCATGCCATTACTGGATGTGTCTTGGGTCAACCCCTCTAAGAGATCAAGTGATTGCAAAAGTAGAGAAAATCGTCGTCCAACTGTACAAGGTACATAGATGTCTGTCAAAAGAGAATCTCTCTCTCCATTTTTTCCAATGTTATATATTGTTTCCCTACAAGTTAGTCCAGAAATCGAATCAGAAGATGCTGCTCGGAGTTTTTTGTTTGAAGCTGTAAAGAAACCCGAGAATTTGCTCAACGCCTGCATATATTGAAAGGTGTCACTACCAAGTGAGTAGGTTGGATATGGAAATGGCATTGCATATTCATAATTGAAACTCACGGACTTTTTTTCTCTCTCGTAGGTGTGCGTTTGGGAGAGCACCCATATCGCCAAACCAAACATATAGTTTGATGTTCGAATCACGAAGCAGAAAATATGTTTATATCCGTTTTTGTCGCCATCTCGAATATATCATTTCCGGTTAGGTTCTCGAGTTGGTAACTTGAATTTTCGATTTCAGCAGGGTCGAATTAGCTAGAAAACACATTTTACTCAAATGTTATTCAATTCACTTCTAAGACTTGATTTTTCCGATTTCTTGTCCAGACTAATATGTATAAATAATTTTTATGAGCTACATACATCGTTTTATACATAGTGTACATATCTCTTCATGATATTTTTGAGTGAGTGAGTGAGTCCCTAATAACATATATTGGCACAATTATTTATAATTATATTTTTCGAGATATTTGAAAATTGAAATGTTCTTCCCTCCCATTTCTGCGCCACTGTTCATTTTCAGGAAAGACTTGTGGAGAACTTTTTCCTTCAAAATTTAGTGTAGAATATTTATGTATTGAACAATTTTTGTGCTGAATCCCATAGTTTTCAAGATATATGCAGAAAACTGCAAAAAATATAGGCCGCCATTTTGAATATCTCACTTTTGGTCAAGATTTCGAGTTGGTAACAAGCATTTTCGGATCCAGCAGAGTTGAATTACGCATGGAACACTTTTTACTCAAATGTTATATGATTTGCTTCTAGACTCGTAACGGAAGCCTTTTTCTCAAATCTAGCCCTGACTTTTATATCCATGGACGTATAAACAATACACGTCCATGATTATATCATTTTTATGGGCGAGCAGTGTATATCACTGGAGACGACGACTCCACTTGGTCAGTGTGTGTATTTTCAGTATGTCTACCGCTCTTGGAAATTTCAGAATCCTAACTCAACAATTACGAAAGAAACATGGATTCTTCTATTAGATGTGAGACACACTGTATAATGTTCATCTTGAGTCAATTCTGATCTTCATATCTCTTTATCTGAAGTTTAGCTTCAAAATGAGCCTGAGATTTCAAAAATCGATTGACGAGGAAGAAGGTTCTTAATGACTGCAAAAACAAAAAGTAAATTTTTCGAGATCACTCTGTAAATAAGAGAGATAAGGAGACAATTCGAGAACTGTCCCAAGATAAGAGATCAGCTTAATGCCTCAACTGTCGAAGTTGAAAAAAAAAGTTTTTCTCCATTTGGGATACTTTTGAAATTTCCGAAATTTTGCACAGTTTCATGTTACACCCTGTAGCGATTTTATGTGATGAACCTTATAGTTTTAAAGAATCACGAGATTATAGCTGAAGGACTAGGGTAGCGAACAGTGTGATTTGAACTCAAATCGTTCAAAACAGAAAGAAGTTATACATATTTCAACAAGGGCAATTTTGGGGTACGACGACATTAGTGTTTCGTAGTTTATATGCAGAGAGAATTTATCGGCTGGGAAATGTTTACTCCACCTTGATCACTACGTGAACTACGTGAACAAGAATTTTCATCACTCCCTTG